AAAACTCAAAGTAAAAATTGCTAAAAAAAACAAAAAAGTCATTATTGCAAATTTGGAATAAAAATTAAATGGGAATAAATTTACAATCTAGTGTATTAATAAAAGAAGGAAACAAGTTCAAAATAAATTTTAAATGTAAAGATTCAATCAATCTTCATATTTAAAATTTATGAAAAAAAAATAAATGTGTGTAGAAATTTACATGGTGTGAGAAAAATTTACATGGGCACCAGGTAAATAAATTATTTAAAAATTTATTTTGAGTTTTTTCATGGATACATCACTTTTTTACAAAATAAAGAACAATAATTATTAAACATTTTATATTACAATAGTGCAGTGGTTCCCAACCTTTTTTCATTAGCGTACCCCATGACATGTCATATCTCTAGATTGTACCCCTCATTTAAGAAATTTAGTGAGTACCCGTATTGTTAATTTTACATGTTGTAACTTTAAATTAAAGAAAAGAAAGTAAATGAAAAAATGTATAATAAAGTTGTGATTGTTGCAAGGAACATATTTTACCTAATAATTTTTTAATACTATTAGTTTGTGATACATAATATATTATTTTTTCTGCCATAATAACTAAACTTTTTTCTGTACCCCTAAACAACCTATCACGTACCACAGGTTGGGAATCGCTGCAATAGTGCACGAAAAAGTAAATTGTGGGATGATGTCACAGCCCTGAGAATTATACTCCATCATCCCCACCCTCTCATTGGCTCTGCCCATCACTGGTAGGATTACACCTTAACCAAGCATGCAGACTTTTGGTTGTTTTAGTGCTTTTGAATTTATGACACATGTTTACTATAACATTTTTACTTATTTTGGCATTTAATTTTACATGCAAATTTTTCTAACATTCAGAAACATCCTATATTGTTACATTGATGTAAGAAATGTTATAGAATTATTTACTTCTTATAACATCAAATGTCTTAACGAATCTTTGAAAATTAAGTGAATTGAAATTTACACATTTGTTATAGTTTTTACATTAAAATGGTGTAAAGCTGAAAGCAAATAATTTAGATAGAATATGTAAATCATATCATCAGTGCAAAATTGTGTATCTATCCTAATATGCCTGACATTATTTTTTGACTCCATCCTGTGAGCACTGAGAGGCCTTTTATTGTAAGTTAGATCAGGACAGGACCCAACACATGTGGAATGGACCATTTCCCAAAAAATTGCTGGGGTTTCTTGAACCAATGCATTCAGTTTATTTTTAATTTCAAAATTTGTTAAAAGTCTGCTTTCTTCTTTACTACTTTTATTAGCATATTGGATTATAAATATATAACTACATACAATTTTAAATAGGAATAGATTTATAATTTTCCTATTTAAAATTTAAATTTTATTTGTTTTGTAATTTACCAAGTGAGTAACAAGTTTACTTATGTTCCTAGACAAATATGGCTTTTGACATGTTAATTAAGTACTATAATAACAGACCATATCATTTACAATACAACCAGGGACACATTTCAGTCAGTGAAAATGAGGTCTAAAACTGATGAACAGTTATTTTTTTTAAATTTATTTATCTATCTATAAATTGATGATGGTATATTAATGTTAGTAAAATTGTCCTATTCAAAGATTATGTCTACAACCAAGTATTAAAAACAGGCAAAACCAGGAACAATATCTGGAAATTGGAGATGTTTGGTTACCTTAAGTATAGCAACTAACTTAAATGTCAGCAAAAAAAATAATAATTATAGAATTTTCAAGAATAATTTTAGAATAGCATTATAATTCATAATGCATGCAATATAATAATATGAACTTGTAATTTAATTATGTCTGTAATAAAATTTACTAATAATTTTAATTTATTGTGCTACTAGATTTAATTAGTTTGTTTGGTAATCATTTATGTAAATTGTATGTGCTATCATGTTGTTTGTTTGCATACAATATTTGCAAAATTACTATAAAAATACTTATCAGTAAATCTTTTCTCCATGCAAATTTAGATGAAAGAACATTTAGATAGAAAATGGCATTTTTATGAGCATTTATTAAAAGGCTCTTAGTGTATACAAGAAAAAAGAACTTCCAACTATACAAAAAATTTAAAAAGTGTGCAAAAAAAATTTAGATCTTGAAAAAAGTTTATGGAGAATGTTGAGAAGAAAACTAATTCAAAATTTGAATAGATAAGGGAAAGAATGATAATGAATAAATTAGATTAATTAATGACTATAAAAAGTTTTATAGCATCCACAAGCTTCTTTTTTTAAAAAAACTCTTTCTGCCAGTGGGAACTAATAGGGCCTCCATTAGCAAGACCATTATGGGTTTGGCCAGGTGGTGAGGGACCAGGCCTGACATATCTGGTCAGACCACCCCTGAAAAATTTCTGAGGATTTATCAAGCCATCTGGATTCGTACCCGGGTCCCCAGAGTGGTAGGCTGCCATCTTGACTGCTCAGCCATCCGACCCAAAAACATTTGAGCTAAACCACAAGAGGTTGGTGCTCTGTAAAGCACATGCATGAATGAGTATAATCTGGCTGGTTTACACCATTCAAATATTTTCGCCATGGAAGCACCCAATGGAATGTTACATATTCCATTGGGCGCCATTGGGAATATGCATATACGAATTTATATTTGAATATACAATAGCAATCTTATCATTGTTTATCACATATATAGAAATTTGTAATAAAATACATAAAATGAATATTTAACCTTCAATGGCTCTGGATACAGAGTACATTAATCAAAGATATATATTAAATCACTTGAAAAAAAAAATATTATTACAATGTTTCGGTAACATGGAAAAATCCAGAATTACTATATTAACACTAAATTATTTGAAAGCAAGTTAAGAGTATAAAATGATATTAACATATATTGATTAATCCCACTTTCCTTACATTTTTATAATGTTCTCTACATTTTATTCCTTTCTCCATCAGAATCATAATTGCTATATGAGAAAATTGTTGTGATAGTTATCTCCTAATCTCCCTTTCTTTCTGTGTAAAACTCTGTATATTTTTGGAATAAAAAAAAAAGTTTATTTCATATCTATATATATGTTACCGGCAAAGTTTGAAATCCGGCATTCTATAGAATGCCTAGGCATTGTATATAATGCCTAAAACTAGCCGGCAATCTATGAAACGATTTATATTTTATAGATTTCCTAGGCATTCTATAGAATGCCAAATGAGAAACTGGTATGAAATACATCTCCGTTTCGTTTCAAATATCACGTGGCAAGGCACGTCACTTTTAACGAGCGGCTCAGGCTTAGAATTTGTCAGTTGCACTTTGCGGTTTGTTCGGGAGTGTCAAAATACGCAATTTTACTTAAATTTGTTCAACAAAAAATTAGTTTTTTACTGTGGTCCATGAAAATGGAGGAGCAAGCTGTAGTGTTGGAGAAGGTGTCATGGTCTATAGACATGAAACAACGATTCGACGATGAACTGTGCAAAATTCGAGTTAATGCTGCAAAAAACAGTATTTTCTTAACCGAAACTACTTACCAGAAGTTAATAAATGATGTACAAAAAGCCAAAATGACTACTAAGAAGGAACCCAGGGACTATTNAAACACTCCAATAAATAAATAGAATTGAAACGACACTTTGAAATGTTTTCCCGATGAAAATTAATAATAATAATAAGTTTCAATAAAAATAATAAAATGTAAATTGAATTTTATCATAACGTGTTTGCTTGAATTTCCTTCTTTCTGAGATCGCAGCAATGCGCGACGGGTAAGCTAGTAGTTAATAAATAACTTACATCATGTACAGATAAAAAAAAAAACCCACTGTATGTACAATACAGTACTATATATATAAATTGGACTGAAGATGAAAGATTTATATAGAGTAGGAGATTAGATGCAAAATTTACTACTAATTATTATAAATTAACTACAATTGAAATGATTTAGAAGCTTTCCGTATGAAAAATGTAACTAAATTATTTTTAAAGGTTATGAGATGACTGAGTGGTTAAGGTGTAATCCTACCACTATAATGGACACAGCCAATGAGAGGCTGGGGATGATGGAGTATAATTCTCAGGGCTGTGACATCATCATTCAACAATTTGCTTTTTCATGCACTATTGCAATATAAAATGCAGTTAAAGTATATCTAGGTAGTCCCAATGGCGGCGCTTCGGTTAGGTTACGTTAGATTAACTATATTTTTAGTAGACGTTTCCTTTATTTTTTATTTTGTTCAAGAACTATCATGAATCAATAACTAGCGACGTTAGGCATTCGGTGGCTCCACTCCAGGAGGAGTCCGTCGAGAGCACGAACATCCCGCGTTTCTTTATGCAGCGAGAATGTAGCGAAATGATGTCACGAGCAGTGTTGGCCAATTAGAAACCAGTTTCAGTGTGTTCGTTGTAAAGCGCTTCTCGAGCGCTGCATAAAGAAACGCGGGGACAGTCGGAAGCGCCTCCATTGGGGTTACCTAGGTATACTTTGACCTAAAATGTTTAACAATAATTATTGTTCTTTATTTTGTAAAAAAGTGATGCATCCATGAAAAAATTCAAAATAAATTTTTAAATAATTTATTTACCTGGTGCCCATGTAAATTTTATTTCTGGACCGGGCAATGCAGTTGGATATAGGATGATAAATTTTATGAAAAAACACAATAAAACTAAAGTTTAAGTCTAAATAATTGTTATATTCTGTAGAACTTATTTATTCTAGGCTTATTACGAGAAGATTTGTCGGTATTAAGTTAATACAATATGCAAACTAGACATAAAATGACCATTTTGGAATTCACAATAGACGTTAAAAAGTATTCATTTAATAAAATGATAAAAATATTCAAATTTAATATTTTTAATTGATTGATATCTCAATAAAAGAAATTTAAAAAGTAATTCTGAAATTTATCTAGTGAAAACTGGTTAAATTTTGGTGATGCAAAATTATCGCGGTGGCAACGCTAATGTCATATTTAATTTTTGCCGCGAAAATTAACGATTTAGTTAACCCGTGTAAATGCTTCGCGATGCTATTTATTTATTAAATAAACACTATTGAACAATTTTTTTAAAGGTTTAATATAAATGATAATTTAAAAGTAATGCTGCTGTTTCCTACAGACATTATAGAAGATTTTAAAGGATTATTTTATAAATCGTGAGATGTGAAGTAAAAGGAACACAATTTAAAACGGAAAACATTTATATGTGAGTATTTTAAACGTTCAGATTGAAAACAGATCATTATACAGTAGTATTGGTACAATCGAACATCAGACGAGTCTGTTGTTTTTCTTAGAATTGACAGAATCAGTTGATTCTGGCAAACTTCTACAAAAAAAAAAAAAATTTGAAGTGGTGTAGAAGAAAAATCTTACCGAAAAATATTATCAAAAAACATACTTTTCAGGATTGTTGATTGCTGTCCACTGCTAAAAGGGGAGTGACGAGAGAGAAGAGGGAGAGGATTGTAAGATTAAATGTCATAGACTTCCATGTGGGCAGGGTAGGCGTGTTCGCCGGAACCCGGCCCTGCGGTGTACAAAAACTCATCAGACATTTTGCAGGACCCTCTCTATAGTAGATTGAATATTTGGGTGTGTATGGAGAATGCAATTGCATAATCCACTAATCGATGATAACTTGCTGCACACTGACATGATTTTCTCTCCTGTCTTTGCATTGAAATATTTTGTTGCAGCCTGTTGCAGATGTTGACATTAAATGTTGGCATGTCTGAAACATGGGTGAGGAAGACATTAGGTGTTACGATAATTACTCAATTAAAAAACACCAATTTTGATTAACTTTTTACAGAATGATGATACCATAAACAATGCAAGACATTTTTTTTAGAAGCAATGATTCAGTTTGAAGGCGTGATAAAAATCATCAAAGTTCAGTGTAACTCCATAAAGTCCTTATATCCTGGAAACTAAAATCCAAAAGGCAAACAATTTCTTTTATTTTTATTTAGTCTAGTATGTAGTAATAAATAATACTTAAAAATAATTTTCACATGTAATTTTATTTTGAGAGTGAATGGGTTAATTGAACAAAGACACATCAGGCTATCCAGGCCCTGCAAAAGGTCACGTTGGCCCTGCATGTGGGGAAAGGAGTACATCTTTTTTAAAATTGACAGCTATATTTATTTAAGTGGCTTTGTAAATTTCTAATTGTTCTAAATATTCATTCAATAAATTCAGATAAATATGTCATTCAGAAATTTAGATAGAAATACCTTCCTCCTGCATGGAAGTATGTGATGTTTAGTCTTACAACTCTCTTCCCCCATTCTTTCTTTTGTCAATCCTTTTAGCACGAGGACGGCAATCATCAATCCTGAGAAATTCTTTGCAGAACAATTGTTTTAACAGTTTCATTCAACCAACAAAGGTCTTTTAGCTTGATGATAACCATGACTGTTCAATATGGGTGAAAACGTTTGCTTTTATAGATTTTTGTAATTCCTGTTGGATATTGGTTTTATGTGTAGTGCTTAAAGACATTCGCTGCTTTCCTAAAAATGTAAGCTTTGGATTATGTGGCATAATTATTAAATTTCTGGTTTCCATACCAAGACAATTACAATATCAGAGTTCTGTTGATCTCCAGAAAATTTATAATTTGAATTGCATGCTAGAATTATTATAGGTATTGGTTGACCCTTGTTGAACATTATGTTTTGCTGCTTTCCAGAAAATATTTGTTTTTAATCATGTGTTATAATTATTGTAGTTCTATTTGATGATACATCTCATACCTTCTTTTATATAAAAGCGAATAGTATTATTTTTTTGTAATAGTTATTATCACATTACATTGAGGAAAGGACAGATTTCTTTTCTATTTTTAATAGCAGGTGTAAAACCAATGTGCTATAAATCTGTGATTTATGCACATTGATTTTGCATAAAGACAAATAACAAATACAGTATTTTAAGCAAATTTCCAGTAGCCTAGTAGCTTACCATTGGATGTAGTTTACCAATCAGACAGTCCCAGTTTCAAATCATGTTAAATGAAACATCAAGCAGGAAATTTTAACTGAATGCTGTCAATATTTTTGTTTTAAGTTCAGATTGGACAAAACACATTGTGTTCATTCCACAATTGCAATGCAAGTACACAAAATCTCATGTATGACTGTATCACTCTAGTGCAACAGACAGAACACTTCTAAAAGTGTAGTGTACTCAAAAAATAATAGATATTGTCAAATGTAATGTGTGAGAAATGTTGATAGTGAAAAATGTATTAATTATTTGTTTTATAATAATTTAATAGTTTTAAATAATTCAATAATTTATTTTAATACATATATTTTTTTAGCTTATCCACTGATCATTATATTCTACAAAAATGAAAGTGTGTTGTACTATTTGCTCTGATCTTTTTGATGAAATTAATTCTATTGTTTCCACACCATGTGGTCATACTTTTCACGACGCTTGCCTCTTCCAATGGCTTGGACAATCTAAGACATGCCCCTCTTGTAGAAAACATGTGACAAAGAAGAATATCTGCAAATTATACTTTGAATCAGCCAATGGGACTGAAGAATTAAATCCAAATAAATTACAAAATGAAGTAGAACATCTGAAGGCTCAAATACATTTAAAAGAATCAGAGAAACAAAAGCTTCTTCAAGTGAATGAAGAAATTAAAGCTTATGTTAAAATTGCAGAAGATAATGCTGATAATGCAAAGCAAAAATATTTAGATTTGTCAACAAAAATGGCAGCAATGAAGACACAGCTCAAATATATGTCAAAACAAAATGCAGAAATAACATGGTTACGTGAAGAAAATTCATCATTGAGAAAAGAAATTGGTCTTTTAAATAAGTAAGTAATATTATTAGGTGAATCTAAAAAATTATCTGCATTATTATTAATTATAATTTAATTAACAGTGTGCAAACTCTTTTAAATGGAACACAAAATGAAGTTGAACAAATGTTGAAAAACTGTGAAGGACAAGGATCTTCAAAACAAATGGCTACCTACTGTTCTTTATTAAAAAAGTAAATATATATATACTGTAATTCTAATTATGTTTCTAATTAAGAGTTTTAGATTAATTTAAAAATCTATATCTATAAATGAGAATGCTTGTTTGTTTGCTATACACTCTTGGGCTATTCAACCAATTGCTACAAAACTTGGCAGTTACATTAACATACGTTTAACTTAGCATACTTTTAACTTAGATAATGTTGTAATTCCACTCCAAAATATTGATTGGAGTTTTGTACATCTATTAATTTCTGTTCATAGTGGATTTGCTAGGTTTACATGTAGTGCAATCTATTGACAAAAAAAAGTAAAAAATAAAGAATTTAATTCATTTAAAAAAAGGATATACCGTATATCTCGGCAGATAAGTTAAATCATAAAAAAAGGCCCCCAAAATCTGGGATCATCTTTTAGGACAGATACAAAAAAAATTAGATTGAAATTTATATAAATTAAAACCATTATAAAAAGACAGACAAACTGTAATTATTTACTAGAAGAGAGTAGGGTATGTGCACAAAATAGAATAGCCCATAAGACATTTTTGTGACTAGTCAAGGTCATTACCTGAATGCCAAATTAGTGCCAATGTTTGCAACAATCGCAAGGCAGTACTGCCAGATGCAAGAAAATAAAATTTGTTCATTTGAAAAATTACAAATAGGACATAATTCCATATATGCTACACAGTATTATTCAGATGATGATTACTGATCTAAACTAAATTTATAGGCTGTTGATAGTTTGTGGGTCATCTTACAGGACAGATATACTTTTTTATTTTACTTTTCATAGACACAATGTAGTGACACTTTTTAAACACTTGGCAGATTATTCATCTTTTATTAGATTGGCCAACCTAATAAAAGATGAATAATCTGCCAAGTGTTTAAAAAGTGTCACTAGATTGTGTTTATGAAAAGTAAAAGGAAATAAAAAAACACGGTTTCATTGGAATAAAAAGGACCGATATATGCTAAAACAAATAAAACTTTGACAAAAATTTATACCTTGTCTTATCTGGAGGTCGTCTGCCGAGATATACAGTAATTAAAAAAACAAAATAGTACAGTATATTTACTTAGTTACTGCAACAATGATATAGTACAAAGTAGATGTGCTATATTATTACTTTGATGAGTAGTAAATAGTTTTCATATGTTTAGTGTCTAAAATGTTAGTGGTAGTTGGTCATGGGTTCACATGTGGACAATGGGCTGGCTGTGTGCAGTTTTCTGAGTTTTCTTTAAGTTAGTAACACCAAAATAGGGCCAGTTTCCATAAAACTCCTCTCGAGATACATTTCCCTCAGAAGATTGCACCTGCATTCCATAGCCAAGTAAACCAAACTAATTGTAATAATTTATCTATAAACTGCTGTTTATGAGGATATACATCCACATAGTCTATGGGCATTCTGATAATGCCCTTAAAATGGGTTTTTCCATATACATTTTTGAAATTTATGATTAATAATACTATGTGTAACAATTACTGTGAGGGATACTTTATAAACCAGGGTGAAGCCAGGCATAACAGCTAGTAACTAATAAATCAGCTAAATAAAATCTAAATTATCAAAATGAAGTACAATGGGTGATTGGTTAACGAACAGTTTGGATAGTGAACAAATCGGATAACGAACACTTTCGCAAAAGATTTTTATGATCGGACAACGAACACATGTTTGGATAATGAACACTTTACTGAACAAACATAAAAAGAAGTGATGGAAAATAACGAATACCGATTGATTTTCCCTTGTCTTCAGGTAACAATTCGAAACCTTTCGGTGCGCAGGAGACTTCAACATCCATGCTCATTCTGATACCAATCATTTCTCCGAATTTTGAAACTATTCCTTGTAATTCCAGCTTTTTGTTTAATTTTCTGAAAAATAATTTTTTATAGTCTTTGCGAGACTGTCGGACGGGCACTTGTTAAGTTTTTCATCGGAGTTTATTTACGAAAGGTGAAAGTTTAACTGTCCCATCGGATATTCGTTAATTTTTGTTCATAAAACAGTTGTTTTAATACCTTATTTCGAATTTCATCCGGGCCTTGCATTTAAATAATTTTTTGTGGGCTAGTTGATTTCTGTTCTCTGAATGCTGGATACTATATTTATTTTTAAATAAATTAGCCAAGTGAATAAAAACTATGTAATTTTTAAAACTTATGTATAAATCAGCTTCTGGAATGAAGTATTATTTTATATTTAAAACAACTGTTTTATGAACAAAAATTACACTCAGCTTTGTGAAATACTTAATATAGTAACAGTAATACCTTCTGTTGTTGAGAAATCTTTATTAAAACTAAAACACAAACGTTTTCAACCTAATACAATAGGTCATCATCAAGTGTAACTGAATTAAATGCCTCTTTAAAAAAAATGGAACAAATACAATATTACTACACCAGATTAAAGAAAAATAACGTACCAGTGAGCCTGTTACTGGTGTGCTTCTCTTACTAAAGCAACCATTACAAACATTTTCGAATTCACAAGTTCTTCTTCAGGTAACATACAACTTCTGAACGAATGCGATTCAAATTAAATTGAATTGGAACACCAGTTGGAACTCAATTGCATGGATGTCAATAACGTCACTCAGGCATGCTTCATATTATCTGTAGTAGTTTAATGTAAGTCCTTGTCCAAGAGTGCCTGCCATGCCATAGATAGAGTGATTTCGTCTTTATGGTTAATGCAATTACCATCCCTAAGTGTAGCCCTGCAGATGTACACGGCTTCTAGCCATCTAAGATGGTGTACATGTTGCGTAGTGTGGATGACCCTTGCTTGATTGAACATTTGTTCTACTTCTGGGTCAGAGGCGTAGGTGGGGAGAGCGGTGGTGGTCCTCTGATGCTGAATATCTGCTGTGTGCTCTTTGATCCTCACTTCTATGGAGTGCTTGGTGGATCCTACGCAGACCAGGCTTCTATTGCATCTATGGTCCATGATTGGAATGATATATACCCCAGGGAGTTTTTCTTGTTGGGGTTGTCTTTTCCATTCCTCAAATTGTCAAATATTGTAGTACATCTTTGGTATGCAATGCAAATATTCTTTTTCTTAGCTATCCCATTGTATAATGATTTAAGTAGGGGGTTGACCAAAGACCAAATCTATTGTCCTCATGAAATGTGATACAATCGACAGCGTACAATCAACATGAAAGCGTACAATTGACTATTAGAGGATCATATAGACCAAACCCAATGTTCCATCACAAGCAGCAATGCTATTGTTTAACTCTTGCTATTACAAGCAAGAGTTAAACACTTTGCCAATACAAAGCTCACCAAACGCCTGGAGTTAAAGAATATAACAATTGAATCTCCAGGCTCTTTGCCTTTGCGAAGATACATAAACCAGGCCAACAGCTACGACCTGTTATAGATAAGGTCTGGGCACCAATCATTAAACTGGAGAAACTCACACACAGGCTACTTTCGCCTCACTTGGAAAGATACTCATATGCTCTGACTAACCCAGTAGACCTAATATCTCTCCTCAAGGAGATATCAGTGCCTTAGGAGTTCATAACATTTTGCCTATGAACTCTGGTTTTAGACTTTAAGTCACTTTAACCATTAGACTCCCACCTACATTTTTCACCATCAGAGATGTACTTTTAAATGTCATAAATGACAGCACTATGCACTAGCAAATACTGGAATTGGTACATCTCTTGTGTTATAATTCCTTGTTCCAATTCAAAGGTGGTACTTACGTCCAAGGGAGGGCATCACGATGGGTAGCCTCATCACAGGAGACCTGTGTGAGTTGGTGGTCAGGCGATTGGAATCTAGTATCATCACGGAGCATTTACCCAACATCATACTATATAAACAGTATATTGACGATATTCTCATTTTATGGAAGTTAAAGCAGGACATATCAGCGTTTGTTGGTTTGTTCAACGACAACCCCTATGGATTGACCCTCCAGATAGATCAGGCTCATGATTCTGAGGCCCATTTCCTCAACATCAACATCAAGTTCAAGCGAACTACAATCCACACAGAAGTATACTGTAAACCAGGGTCGGAACATCTATACATACTGGTAGGGTCATGTGACCCTTCCCATTTTTTTTATTCTTTTCGCCCTGTGGGCACTACGAGGGCCTCTTATAGCAGGCCTGTTATGGGTGCGGCCAGGCCCACAATGGGGCAACTGCGTGGTGAGGGACGGGGCTCGACATATCGGAACAGACCACCCCCTGAAAAATTCCTGGGGATTCCTTGATCCATCCGAATTCGATCCCGGGTCCCCGAGAGCAGTAGGCTGCCACCTTGACTGCTTGGCCATCCAGCCTCAAGACCCTCCCTATTATAAGATGGCAGCCTTTAATGCCTTAATTGGGAGAGCCCATATGCACTCGTCATCGCAGATAGCTCTCCAGGCTGAGCTAGGGCGGATTGAGCATATAGCCAAGGAACATGGCTACAGTATGATCACATACAAATTGATCCACAGATGGCACCAATGCCAAGAATTATACCCTACACAAGTATCAGATGAGGTTCTGCCTATTATCATCCCAGTTACATACAATCCCTACCTTAAATCATTATACAATGGGATAGCTAAGAAAAAGAATATTTGCATTGTATACTGAAGATGTGCTACAATATTTGACATTTTGAGGAATGGAAAAGACAACTCCAACAAAGAAAAACTCCCTGGGGGGTGTACATCATCATGATCATGGACCGTAGATGCGATAGCTTATGGTTTATGTAGGATCCACCAAGCACTCCGTAGAAGTGAGGATCAAAGAGCACACAGCAGATATTCGGCATCAGAGGACCACCACCGCTCTCCCCACCTACACCTCTGACCTAGAAGTAGAACCAATGTTCAATCAAGCAAGGGTCATCCACACTACGCAACATGTACACCATCTTAGATGGCTAGAAGCTATGTACATCTGCATGGCTACACTTAGGAATGGTAATTGCATTAACCATAAAGACGAAATCACTCTATCTATGGCATGGCAGGCACTCTTGGACAAGGACTTATGTTAAACTACTACAGATAATATGGCGCATGCCCGAGTGACGTTATCGACATCCACGCAATTGAGTTCCAACTGGTGTTCCAATTCAATTTAATTTGAATCGCATTTGTTCAGAAGTTGTATGTTACCTGAAGAAGAACTTGTGAGTTCGAAAATGTTTGTAATGGTTGCTTTAGTAAGAGACCCACACTGGTAACAGGCTCGCTGGTACATTATTTTGTTTTTAAAAACAAGACATATAAATGAAGGAACATCTGAACTCTTACATTTAAATTTCAAAACGAAATATTAAACAACTTAACAATTAAATAAATAAAATATATATAACTAAAATAAAATAAAATAAAGGCCAGTATAAACTAAGAACTTTTTATACTGAATTTCATGCTGAAGGTAATTCATTTGCATCCCTGGCATTTATGTAACCATCCATTAATTGCTTTTATAAATTTCAATTTTTTCTTTGCTAACAATAGCATTTCTAACAATAGCAAATGCATAGTCTTGAGGATTCTTGCTTCATTCCATTTAACTATGGAGCATTTAACTGGACAAAACTGTGTTACAGTGCCCATTTTTAAGGTCATACTTATGCTCCTTTAGTTTAACTGCTAGATTCCTTCTTATGACCTTCTTATTTATTTTATTTTAGTTATATATTGCACCTCAGCACCTGGTGGGGGCAAGGTGAAAGCGATAGCAAGCACTGAAGCATATATATTCGGTTGGATGACTATATATGGAGCATTGATCAAGGCAAGTGATAGTGAGCCTTAATGATGTGGAGCATGGAGAATAGGCAATATATTGATACATGTTAAAAACTGATCTTTGGAGGTGAATANTCAAATTCAGTTACACTTGAAGATGACCTACTGCATTGGGTTGAAAACATTTCTGTTTTAATTTTAATAAACATTTCTTAGCAGCAGAAAGTATTACTGTTACTTCATCAATTGTTTTATGTTTATGATGAATATTTTCTAAGAAATATAATATTACATTTTTCATTTCATTGCAAAACTTTATGCTGGCATTCATGGAAAACATAATCATGCCTTGTGGGCTTTATTAAGAATTTATTTAAAATATATTAAATATTAAAAAACTTAGACATTAAGAAGAAAATATTTTTAAAATAATCAAAATACTTTCATTTTTCAATTTGTATAAATCTTTATTTCTGAAGACGGCCTCGGCTCCACAGAGCACCACCGAGGTTGAGAGCAGAATGTTTACAAGCATAATACATGTAAAACAGGTTACATAACAACAATATGTCAGATTACAGCTATATAAGTTTTAGAATTCAGTTAATGTACAATACTTGGCAGATTATTGACTGCAGAGTAGCCAAATACTTACATAAAATAACTTGCATAGGAGTTGATTACATAAATACATGGTAACATACATCAGGTATTATTAACAAATTAACATAGGATAATATAATACAAAATATTATATCAATGATAAACACATATGAACATTTTATAGATAAGATAATACAAATATAAAGGAATGAAGACTATTTAATAGTTATATGAATTAATGTAATATAAGAACATAATAATAGCAAATAATAACAATGTTAGGAATATATAAACAAATACATAGATGAGATTCTTGTACCGAATCTCTAATACAGATGCGAATACACGATTACCAAGCATTGTATCATATCTTATATCAGTTTTTGCAATATCCAAGTCTATTGCATTACATAGCTTTTAACAAGAAAAGAATTAACAGTAGTACAGTAGTTGTTGTTGTTGTCGAAACCGTGTTGTTATTTATGTTTGTATACTGGCACAAAGAAGGTCACTTCATTGTGTCTAACTGAATAAAGATTGAAAACTTGCCAAGTGTTGATAAAGAAGGTCACTTCATTGTGCCAGTATACAAACAAAAGTAGTACAGTACTCAAAAGAGTATGGATTAACATTATTACCATATAATATGTTACCAACAATACCAGTGCATGATATTGTTAACTAAGAGAACATATAATGTAATTGTACACTATGAACCCAATGTGGGTCCGACAAAAGTTATAATGCATTGAACTATGTGGAAATGAGTTATCATGACACTGAAAATGCAGTTAACACATGTAATGTTCATGTTATTATGTGTACTTTAAATAAACAAAAGCAGCAAAATACCCAAATAGGTATAGTACAAAATTTTGTACATGGTTCGAGAAAGCATCAGTCCATTGAGACAAAGTAACCTAATTAACGGTAATCTATTGAAATAAGTATAAACTAGTTCTTTAAATGCTACAAAACAGTTTTTCTCTTTGACAAATATGTCAAGGCTGCAAGGCCAATTTTCTTCTTGTGGAAGTAGAGTGGTGATGGTAAAACACTTATTGTCCAACATAGGGCATTTAAACAGATAGTGTTTTACTCCATCTATTTCGTTACAAATTTTGCACAGCGAGTTTTCCGATTTGCCAAATCTTTGAAGATATCGGTTAAACTTCCCATGTCCAGTATAGAATTAGACCAATTTTTTGTCAATGATTGGAAGAGTAGAATCTGGAATCTTGGGAAAAAACTCCTTTGTAGGACATTCGCTATGCTCCTCCCATTGTCTTTGCCGAATAGTGAAGGCATTTTCTTTTGTTTGTCTTACGATGCGACATTAGGGAGTGGCATTATATTGGGGCGTGGCAATCAAAATACTGTACCATTAAAATAAATAATTAAATTATTGTGGAACAGGATGTTGAGTGTTGATTGCAATACCCAACACACTCTGTCACAATAAGTTTGAGTTATTTTTGCTATAACAAGTTGACACTGACTGAAAACTTAACAACAACAGTAAGGGGTGAATTCCACTCAATGTCATTGTTAAGTTTTTAGTTAGCACATGCAGGTATTTTTCTGAAAATGTTTCAATCTAATTGAAAATTTTACTTTACAATTTCATATATGAGCTTTTGATTCAGGAAGATAACAATTTTTTCATATTTTTTGCAAAAAATATTTAGTTTTGCAAGACTAAATGCCACATGGATGAAATCCACAGTCAAGAGTTTAGATACAGCCCTCATACATTTCATATTTGAAAAATTTTATTTATAAATATCTTTTGAAAATTTCAGATTAAAAAATATTGTAAAAATTTAAGTTTTAAAATTTATTTATTTGTAATTTTAGGGAACTTGAATATACAGTAGACATAAAAAAAAGGCTAAAAACAGAAAATGAAGTTCTCAAAAAAGATTTAGGTTGCAATTTATCTAAATTAAGAGAAAAATGTTCAGAAGTTGAAAAATTAAAATTAACTATTAAGCATTTAGAAGAAGAAAATGCATCTTTAGAAGAAAAAATCAACATACTAATGGAAAAAAATGGGAATAGGAATTTATCTGGATCTTACTTAACATTTGAAAGGTATATAACAAATAAACCTCTTAGTAAACACTGGAGAAAATACAATTCATTACACCAAAAATCCTTTGTAACTCCAGTGATGTGTTTACAAAACAGCGAACATTTTTGACCCCATCCAGGTCTTCATCAGGCTACGGTTATGAGGAATTTGAATGCTGTGTGGAATGGAACAATAAAACGAAACGAATGCGATTCAAAATTTAGAAAAGCAAAGTTAAGAATAAAAATAGAACATTACGCTCATGCTGAAATGACAATTAAGCACGCATAACCTCATGTTTGCGAAACGGTGAATGCAGATGAAATATACGCAATTCAAAATCAGTTATGGGGGTGGGTTTCCTCATAACAAAATTTCCATGCTTTAGATATACCGACTGCATCCCTAGAGTTGATGTACATGTTACGTAATCCTGCTTTATATATTTTGAGAGTCTCCATGGTTCCGAGCTGATCCATACGGTGCGAGAGCCTGATCAGACGGGCATTTTGTAGGTCAGCTGTGATTCCTGGTTCTGTGGCAACAGTTGAGGATAACAATCATGCAAGAAAAATCGTAGGGTACAACCATCATTTTAATACAATATACAGGGAAATTTCATCCATCACTAAAATTAAGATAGCTTACAGTAGGTCGAGATCCGTTTACAGCTTACTCTGCAACAGAAAAGACACAATTGACTTGAAACACGCACTGGGGGTATATGCTGTCCTGCTTTGGGATGACAGATTTAATAGCCGTTAGCTCAACCAAATGCTCCCTCATAAATGGCTTTGTGAGCACAAATACGACATTGACAATAAAACACACACCACCGCCCTCTCAACTGTTGCCATGGAACCGGGAATCACAGCTGACCTACAAAATGCCCATCTGATCAGGCTCTCGCACCGTACGGATCAGCTCGGAACCACGGAGACTCTCAAAATATATAAAGTAGGATTATGTAACATGTACATCAACTCTAGGGATGCAGTTGGTATATCTAACACATGGAAATTTTGTTATGAGGAAACCCACCCCCATAACTGATTTTGAATTGCGTATATTTCATCTGCATTCACCGTTTCTCAAACATGAGGTTATGCGTGCTTAATTGTCATTTCAGCATGAGCGTAATGTTCTATTTTTATTCTTAACTTTGTTTTTCTAAATTTTGAATCGTATTCGTTTCGTTTTATTGTTCCATTCCACACAGCATTCAAATTCCTCATAACCGTAGCCTGATGAAGACCTGGATGGGGTCGAAAACGTTCGCTGTTTTGTAAACACATCACTGGAGTTACAAAGGATTTTTGGTGTGATGAATTGAAAGGTATATATTGAAATTTTATGTTAAAATTTAAAAAATTAAAATTTAATATTTTACTGATATTTGTTTTCAGTCCACCATCTGAAAAATCAAAAAGGACTAGAACAACATTTGATTACAGAAATGATACCAATATATCAATTTGTTCTGAAAGTGTAAGAAGTTTATTTTACTACATATGTTTCCCTACCTATTTACTAATATTTAATACATATCATATTATAAGAATTTTGTATTCTGATTACTATATTATATATAAGTTTTTTAAGACATAGGTACTCCTATTTACTTTCTGAATTATTTCATTTCAGTCTCAAAAAAAGAAACTAAAAATAAATGTGATTTCATCAGTATTCAATAACAGATCAACAACACATTCTGCTTCTGTGAAGATAGCTACAAATCCATTTAAGTCCAAAAATGAAAATAATGATGAAACAGAAAAAGAAAATATCCGAATAGGATATAATGGATTAGGTGGCCATTCACAATATATTGAGCAATCATATCTTGTTACAAAGATAAAGGAAAAAAAAGCAAAGGAAAAATTATTGTCAAAGAAAAATGAAACTCTAGATAATTTTGTAAAAGTTAAAGTTATGTAGTTTTATTACTGTAAAAAGCATTATACTCTAAAAAGATTATATATCAAAACTTATTTTCTTTAATCATTCACCAAAACAATGACTCTGCATTAATCCTTAAGAAAAGTAACTTAAAAATAATAAATAAGTAATAAAATTTTTATTACAATTTAAGAAACAAAAGAAAGTAATTCAAATTTAAATGTAAAGTACTAGTATAATACTATTCTTTAGTTTTAAATGTTTTTATTGTAAATATTTGCTTAGTATAAAAACTGAATTATTAAAATATGTAGTGTGTTTTTATATTTAAAAATTTTATTTAAAATAAAAATCTTGGAAAATTCTCAAAGATTTTACTTATTTATAATTATAAGAAAATAACTGTAATATCATTCTATGTGATGTACAAAGCTCTTATCTAAAGATGATGATAAAATAGAAAGAATGTAATGTAGAAAAGCTTATAATCCAACATTTTTGCATAAGAAATCATTCAATGTATCAGAATAAGCATTTTTTAAAATCTTTTCAAGTTAAAATTTTGTGTGAAAAGTAAATTTATGTAAAATTATTTGAATGAACAATAACAAAGGCTTACTTAAAGGTGAAATTAAAAAAAGAACAAATATTACATCATCACAGAAAAGTTTTTGTAATTATGACTTATTCTGCTCTATTAGAACTATCCTAGATCTATTGTTGAATCAAACTAATTGTTTACAATTTATTTCTTGTTTTTAAATGATTGAAGCTATTGGTTTATTATTTGTTATTTCTCCTATGGTGAAAGGAAAATCATACTGTAACTAAATAATTTTTTATCAGGATTTGCACTTGATGATATGTTTAATTAAACAATCACTAATACAGTAAAACCTGTTCTAAACAGAACCTTAATAAAATGGAAATCTGTCTAAGGAAGAATTCTTCAGAACACAGTGATTTTCTGAGTTAAAAAAAACCCTGTTCAAACAGAAACCTGCTAAACTGGAAAAATATTTGGTACCATGCAAATCCAGTTTACACAGGTTTTACTGTATGTCATTATTTTTCTGATTCCTTATAAAATTTGTAATACATCATCAAATTGATCATGTCAAAAAATATAGAGGAATAGCATATTATTTTATCTGCAACTTCTTTTACTTTAATTTACCTGAAAATCCTCTCTGAATCTCTCATCATATTTTCTCCTCAAACAATAACTTTCCCTTTTGCCACATAATCAAAAAGTTTAAAATTGCAACTTTTTCTGTTATAGTGTTCTGTAGTAGTCTTACATCTACATCTCCTGTTTCTAAGGACCTATTGTCTTTAATCATACATATTTCTTTAAGCATCTTAATCATTATGTAGAAAATAAAGTGATTATAATAATGTCCATTTTGTTATTTAGACAACATTTATTGTACAAGTAATAACCAAATGATGATGATATCCTTAATGACCAGAATTCATACCCTATCTTGACCTTGATTTGATTTCTCATTATCTTTCATGTATAGTAGTAACATTACTTCATGTTTCCAGTATGTATGAGAAATGGAGAAAAAATAGAAAAATACAGTAGATTGGCATGGTAACAAATATACAGTAAAATTCTGAGAGACAGACAGAACACTAAGACACTTACTTGTGAAAGCCAAAAAAATTGCAATTATTTTGGCATTACTATGAAATTTTTCCTAGAAAACATCTTTTTATGGCAGAACCTGTGAGATATAAATAGGAAGTTATAACACAACTTCATATTTACCAAACAATTATTATTATGTGTTACATTAACAAAAATAACATGTTTGTTATTTATTTGTACAGTAGGTGCTTGATAATTCAAAGTGGAAGATACAGAAAAATTTTCAAGTTATGGAAACTACCATTATTTTAATGAAAGTATGTATCACAATACAAACAATATAGTTAGATACATATATGTACAAAATAAAACATTGACACTATTATTGAAAAAAGTCTATTATTGACACTATTATTGAAAAAAGTTATAGAAGCTTGACAATTCATTGCTTCTTGCTGGACAATGTTTTCAGTATGTTGATCATCTTGAAAGAATCTTGTTTTATGAGTGATATTTATATGATATCTAAATATAGGGTGGACAGGATATTTATTCTTGACAGGATTTCTTCCTTGTCTTTATCTCTTGTTTCTTGTGTTTGGCTCTTTACTTCAGCAATGATAATAAGTTTAGGTAAGTGTGTACAGACATCTAGGTCATTGTCAACAAAATGTTGACAATGACCTAGCTATCTGTACACAAGCATGTTGACAATCTTTCAATGCTGCTTTTTTATTGCTCATTGTTGTAATAATTGCAGTCTTTGATATATTAAATGGATTCTAATGGGAATTCCAATATTTTCAAAACATCCACAAATTGTTGACTGAAATCTACTTTTGTAAAGCAATTTGCAATGGTTTTTCGTGAAACTGCATTCCCAGCTTTGTTAATCATTTGCATTACATGTAGCAGGTTCATTCCAAATGATGGCGATCATGTTTGTTATCTGTCTTCAATAACTTTTGTAGAATAAGCTCTCCCTTTTTATCTATTATCTATATAAAGTCATAAATGAAAATGGCTAGTCCATAACAGAAGGCATTTTGTTTTCTGCAGTTTGCAAAGACAGAACCACTCATTTGTGTCACAAGTAATCTGCAGAAGCTGTAGGATTGTACCTGCTAGGGAGAAGTGACTGGATATACTATAGCAAGCAGGAAGAATTTAAGTATCAGTGGGATATGTACCGTGTGACACGAGGTTTTCCAATGTTTTAATGTATTAAACTTAGACGATAATTAAAGTTTAAAATGGTGTTCTTATGTGGTATTCTTGAAAGACCCTGCATTTATATGTATATATAAAATTATATTATTTATATTGGGGATATTCTGTAATACCTGGCTTACTGTGGCCGACGGCAAGATAACACGAAGATTGAAGATAAGGCATTTTCTTTACAGTCAAGCAAGTCAGTGCATCCATATATGGTTTATTTTTCAGCTTTAATTTTTACGATGCATGCGATGATTTAATGCAAAATTTTCAGCAAAAGCAAGCAGATAAGACGCCTGCAATTACCACGACGCATTATCTGAGGAGTAATCGCAAGTTTTACGAAAAATGTTTGCGATTGTATTTTTAGATTATTATTTAGTAATATTATACTGTAATAAAAGTACAAAATAATTATAAAAATATAAATATTTTGTACTTTTTGTTTATACAGGATGGGCAAAAAGTCCGAAAACACTAAACATTCATTAAAAAAAATTATAGGATCGAAATGCGGTTTGCGTTGTCAGCACAATGGGTTTTTGTTGACAGGAAAAAATTGTAAAAATTACCGACAGGTGGCATTGACGTACAAAAAGACGACGAATAGACGTGCAAGCGACAATGCGATTTCTGACTATTTAAATTCTGGGTATTTAAATTCTCGAGTGTTTCGATCACGTCCTCGGGCCCACCAGCGGTTCCGTTTCCTGAACATGGATATAGCATATAGGAAATTTCTGGAAATATTTCCTATTGCTATATCCACTTGGTGTAAAATTACCTTCAAAGAAGGTAATTTTTAAACCGTTTAATAATGAAACTTTTATTGGAAAGCTGAAAAATAGAAAAAGAAAATTTAAATGTTTAATGAATTATTCAATCAAAAAATTGCATTTGAATACATTTATAATTTACTAGCAACGTGTAGGACTGAATGTAGTAAAACAACGTGTAAATCAATATTCGGCGTTTTAAAAAGAATAAATCGCTCAGAAACGGTCAATATGCTAACAGAAGATGACAAATTTAATTTTATTTGCATTCGAAACAGTCACACCAAAAATATTAACATCGACATAACGCTACAGAAATTTAATGACAATAAGATGCTCTTTCTTACTTAGCAGCGAGCACTGCTTAGTACTTAGCAGGAAATATCTATGATAGAGATAATTTTCCACTTCAATATTATTATTTATTGTGACATCGTCACAATGCCGGGTTGCAATTTTTAATTTATTTAATTTAAAATATATGCTCTCCACCTCAAATTAGTACTGNTATTAGTTAACTATGTTTTTTAATTTTCATTCAAAAGTATTGAGGTGCAAATTTGTATTTTTTGTTTTTTCCAGTCTATAGAAGAATTAATACAGAAAACTATTCCTGAAAATATACAGTTAAAAAGAGAATTAAATCTTAGCCCAGCAAAAGGTGTAATAATTATTAAAGTTTTGTAAAAAAAAATCTGTTAAGTGACAAATAATAATAGTTTGAATAATGAACAAATATAATTTAGGTGAACAAGAACTTACAAATGACATTTGGTTAATTGGTGAGAAGAACAAATGCTGGAGAAGCTATATTGGAATGGGATATTATGGTTGTCATACTCCTCATACAATTATGAGAAATATATTTGAAAATCCAGGATGGTGAATATTGGTATATAGTGTATGTTCATAAATATATATTTACTTATGTTAAACAAGTTTTATTTTTACACAGGACAACTCAGTATACACCATATCAAGCAGAAATAGCTCAGGGAAGACTGGAAAGTTTGTTAAATTATCAAACAATGATAAAAGATATGACAGGATTAGACATAGCAAATGCTTCTTTATTAGATGAAGGCACAGCTGCTGCAGAAGCTATGGGATTGTGTTGCAGGTTTGTATATATTTTGGAAATATTATTTTATTAAACCAAAGTGTAAATAATTTTAAAATAAGCACAGTAATTTGTAATATACAAACAAAAGATGTTTATTTTGACAAACTCTTATTCTGTTTTCTGTTTTAATCATCATCATAATTTGAAAACATAAGATTAATCTAAGAAACAGTTTCAGTTTTTTGCATATTTTGATTTTTTAAAATATTTGAAAGTAAAATATTTACTAAAAATGTCCAGAAACTCTTAAAAAATTATTGAATCTTAAGTGCTTTAATTTCCTGTGTAAGCAGGTGTAGGCTATTTTGGTAGTTTTTGCCAGTGATATGTTGTGTGTCATGTGGACATCGAGAACTCCATATTTCATCAAGATTCACCAAACTAGAATAGACCGATTTCCTGGTCTTCCTGATGGCCCTGTTCATACACATCCATCTAACCTTAGTACACGGATATGACTTTTGAGCTTCATCACTCTTTCGTAAGCGGAAGTGACCTTGAAATCCAGACTGTTAATTCCACTTATAATTATATAAAACATTTAAAAATTTAACATTTTCATAATTTAATCTCATAAACTAATAATTATTTTATCAAAATTTATCCTTTATTAATTATCTTCTCCCTTAACTTTCGTCCTTGAACTTTGATAATCGGCATACAGTAGTAATACGTATAAAAATGTTGCAACCCTTTCGCTTCGAAACAAACACGGAATACACTTATTATCACGATATTTTATTCGGAAATTATAACCAAATTTATCAAATAAATAACCAAAGAAACGGATTTATTAATTCATAAATTGCGGTACATTTTAACACCGAAATTGTCCTCTTGCATAAGACTTTTTAGATATCCTCATATTTTAAACTAATCACGTTTTCAATGTCAATTGACACAAAAGAATTAAAAAAAAAGGCGGGGTCAAGATCATTTAAGTGATAATGATTGCATCATCTTTCCAGATGTTCGCTTGACAACTTCTATACGCCACGTGTTCTTGCTAAATAAGCAGAATCAGGTGCTAGGAAATAAATTACAGTACCATATATAGCTGAATATTCAAAGTTTATGTAGATAATTTGATACTAGGAAATTTGCATTTATATCATTAAATAAATATAAGTTATAACCAACTAATGCTATTTTAATTGGCAACCTTTTTTTTTAAATCGAATTACTTTCTTTTTATATAATTGTAAATTAATCGATACGTAATTGATTTAATTAACGATAAGATCTATTGGCAAACTATGGTGTTTTTTTTATCACGTGGGACGAAGCAGCCAATACTTGATGTTTGCAAAATGCGGGAAATCAATCAGTTATTGCTTGACGTCAGAAAGACTATTGAACAAAAAGTTCTGTTTGATTGCAGGTAGTCGAGCGATAAAGGTATCACTGCACATCAACTTACTTTCACTGTCCTAAAGAATGCAAAGAGGATTTTGCACTTTACGCTCTTCCTTTAATCTTTTAAAAAAGAGTAATTTTCACTTAAAAACGCAACTTTGTCCGCGATGCCTGCATATTTCGCCTATTGCTGGAAAGTCTGTGGAATCTCTCCTGCCAGGCCAAGACTTTTCGGTCAGGCATATTGGACCCAGAGAAGAAGACAAAAAACAGATGTTAAAAGTGATCGGTGTCAAGGTTTGTATATTAATTTTTTCACTCTTTTATAACACAATAAACCCTTTCTTTATTCTTCGATATTATGTTTTTATTAATTATATTTAGATTATTTTATAAATTTTTTCTCTATCAAAGCATACCTGATTCTTCAAGTATTTCTTCTAAAGACTATTTGACAATTCTGTGAGTTGCTTTGCTTCCTATTTTTAAAATTTTACTTCATCTTTTAAATGATACAGCATAAAATTATATTAATATGTCATTCATTAATCGTATTTTTTAAAAGTTGGATATACTCTTCAGTGAATTCAAACATCATTTTATAGTTAAAATATAATTATATATTTATTAAAATGTTAAATTATTTTCAAATATATATTATTATTATTTTTAACTTAAAAAATAAAAGATAATACCCTCCTTGCTTTAACCTCTACTAAGAAGACTGGGTCGAGCTTAAATAACTGATTGATTTAAAAATAAAAATTTTGACAGAGGAATATTTTTTTTATTCCTAATTTTCTGCAATTATATATATAGCAAGAGCTCAATTATTCACGTTATAAGACAACCAAATTAAATATTAGTTCTGTCATTGCATTTTGAACATTTAATAAAATTACTTTATAATAAATTTTTATAAATTTGAAAATATATAGAAATATAATAAAAAAAAATCTATTAGGTCATTAACAATGACATTCTATTGTGATTTTGTATTTTATAATTCAGGAATTTGAATGTTGAATATTAGTTTTCTAAGTTAATCTTATCAAAATAAAGATAGAAATTGTTAGAACCATTTAACAACTTTCCTTTCTGTGTAATGAGCATGTGATTTTACATTATATATATATATATAGTCACTTGTCTAACAGTGAGCAATTTATAAAAACAAGGAATATTTCAAGTCATTCAAAGTTTTGAAAGTATAATTATAAGCTTTATACTTGTTACAAGAGAGATATGTTATATAAAATGTAATAAAATTTATTATTATTACAAGTATAAAAAATATTGTAAATTAAGATTTAATAAATTTTGATTTTATCATCACACCATTATCTTTTATTTTATTAGATTAATTGATGCCCTTATCAATTTGATAAGAGAAATTTTTGTTGAGAAATATCAGTAAGAGATGATATCATTTTTTGATACAGAAAAAACTTAGCATATGATTTATACATTTCATACTACAATATTCCAAAAAAGCTTCTTTAAAAAACAATTTTAAAAATAACATTAAACACTTTTTCATATATACATACATACATATTTATTTTCAATTTATTCAATACAAATGTTCTATAGAGTTTGTTTTCAATTTTTAAATTTATGTTTATCAAAAATTATAAACAGGTTTTAGTCAAAAAAATAAGCTAATGGAATATAATGTATAAATTATTTATTAATTTATCAACCTAAAAATTTACATATAATTATATTAGTTAACTATGTTTTTTAATTTTCATTCAAAAGTATTGAGGTGCAAATTTGTATTTTTTTGTTTTTTCCAGTCTATAGAAGAATTAATACAGAAAACTATTCCTGAAAATATACAGTTAAAAAGAGAATTAAATCTTAGCCCAGCAAAAGGTGTAATAATTATTAAAGTTTTGTAAAAAAAAATCTGTTAAGTGACAAATAATAATAGTTTGAATAATGAACAAATATAATTTAGGTGAACAAGAACTTACAAATGACATTTGGTTAATTGGTGAGAAGAACAAATGCTGGAGAAGCTATATTGGAATGGGATATTATGGTTGTCATACTCCTCATACAATTATGAGAAATATATTTGAAAATCCAGGATGGTGAATATTGGTATATAGTGTATGTTCATAAATATATATTTACTTATGTTAAACAAGTTTTATTTTTACACAGGACAACTCAGTATACACCATATCAAGCAGAAATAGCTCAGGGAAGACTGGAAAGTTTGTTAAATTATCAAACAATGATAAAAGATATGACAGGATTAGACATAGCAAATGCTTCTTTATTAGATGAAGGCACAGCTGCTGCAGAAGCTATGGGATTGTGTTGCAGGTTTGTATATATTTTGGAAATATTATTTTATTAAACCAAAGTGTAAATAATTTTAAAATAAGCACAGTAATTTGTAATATACAAACAAAAGATGTTTATTTTGACAAACTCTTATTCTGTTTTCTGTTTTAATCATCATCATAATTTGAAAACATAAGATTAATCTAAGAAACAGTTTCAGTTTTTTGCATATTTTGATTTTTTAAAATATTTGAAAGTAAAATATTTACTAAAAATGTCCAGAAACTCTTAAAAAATTATTGAATCTTAAGTGCTTTAATTTCCTGTGTAAGCAGGTGTAGGCTATTTTGGTAGTTTTTGCCAGTGATATGTTGTGTGTCATGTGGACATCGAGAACTCCATATTTCATCAAGATTCACCAAACTAGAATAGACCGATTTCCTGGTCTTCCTGATGGCCCTGTTCATACACATCCATCTAACCTTAGTACGCAAAGGTTTGTTTCCAGGTGGAAGGTGAATGTGATATATGGTTATAGGGAACACACATAATTTCTTGCATTTCATTAAAAAAGTTTCATATGTTGTGTGCAAGATATATTGAAGAAATTACATTAATTAAATGCAGACTACTTCAGTAGGAACTAACAATTATTCATTACGATATTATGAATATCTATTTTGTCATTGTTGTTACCAAATATAGGCCAGCACTACTTATAATGACCAAAATTGACAATGATCATATAGGGTTGTAATATGTTGGTATATACATTAAAGATCTAATTTAACATTTATTATATACAGCATTCCAATAACAAATTTAAAATAATCAGGATAAAGAATGAGATTAATCATTTTGAAACAAAAATTTTTAGGAGCAAAATCTTTAAAATTTACTTATATTCTGTTCAATTTTACATTTGAGCATTAAGTTTTTACTCAGAATCGAAACTCCTCAAGACTATGCTGAAAGTTTTGTTTGATTTTGAAGAAAAAAATGAAGAATTCTCTTCAGTTCATTGCAAAAGATCTTGTAATTGAGCCTCATATATTTGATATATTGTATGTTGCCAATTCTATGATCTTTTGGTCTGGTGTATAAAATTTTTAATTCAAATACCAGGGACAATCCAATATGTTCAAAATTATTTTTAAAACAAAACACATCTCTATAATTTAATATTTTAAAAGGGCTGTCCATAAATTATGTAACACAAATGTGGATGGGTGGGTATGTAGGTAATCATTATGATGTCTATTTTGGTAATCGTTATGATGGTGAGAGTGTTTGTTTACAAAAACATTTCATATTGAAGACCCTAAGTGTTAACAGAATGATTCCTTTTTGTTTCTGAAGTGTTGCAGAGTAAACCATACTGTTTTGTCACTGCTATGTATATTGTAATCAATAAAATAATGTTCAGTGCATCTCTTTTTATGTATTAAGGGAGTTGGTCACAGATATGCATTAGGTAATTTTGGATGGGTATGTGCAACAGTGTTATGGAGTATTCAGGGGTGTGGGATGGAAGTTGAAAATTATAATAGCATTACATGTGTGGGCTCTCCTAATTATATACATGCAGTTTAATATATTTTCTAACATAAATACACTATTAAATAAAATATGTGAGTCATATTGATTGTTTTTATAAGTACTTAAAATTTCCAATTTCAGGCATAATAAAAGAAAAAAATTTTTTTGTTCAGATAAAGTTCATCCACAAACATTAGCTGTTGTAGAGACAAGAGCTAGGTAAATTGTAATGTTTATACTACTGCTCTTTTACAAATGAAAAAATTAAAAAGGATATCTTTTTAAGTGCTTTAGATATAGATGTGATTGTTGGTGACATTTCAAGTATAGATCTAAGTAAGAAAGATATAGGTGGTGTTCTTTTTCAATATCCTGATACAGAGGGAAATATAGAAGATCTATCTGAATTTGTAGAAACTTGTCACAAATATGGTGTAAGTAAAAAAATTAATACAGAATTTATTAAATATACCATTAACTGAATATTCTTTTCCCTTAGACTTTGGTAGTATCTGCTACAGATCTTCTTGCTCTTGCAATTCTTAAACCTCCAGGAGAAATAGGTGTTGATGTTGCTGTAGGCACAAGTCAAAGATTTGGTATTCCTCTTAATTATGGTGGTCCTCATGCTGGATTTTTTGCAATAAAAAATTCATTGACAAGACTGATGCCAGGAAGAATGGTTGGAGTTACAAGGTAAAGTAAAATTATTGTTTATTATTAATTTTAAAACTGTATAAAAATTATAAACATTTAGTTTTTTATACATATACATATAATTTTTGTATATAGAGATGCCTCAGGTAATCTTGCATATCGTCTGGCTTTACAAACAAGAGAACAACATATAAGAAGGGATAAAGCCACAAGTAATATTTGCACAGCTCAGGTTCATATTTCTTATTTATTAATGTGTAAATTTATATAATTACAGCATTTTAATTTGATTTAAATTATTATTTCTTTTCTATAATCTGCAATAGTAACTTTTTTTCTTGAAAAAGTTTTAACAAGTTCATACCATTATTTGCTGTTGTGGCACATCAGTAATGAAGTAATACAATTTGTAAAGAAATTCAATAATTAAAAAGAAGTATTCTCAAATCTAGGAAAGAAATTAAACAATTTATTTTAAAACGATATAATGAGAGTTTAAAATACAGAATGATAGAATAGTCATTTCTTTGATTTGATTTTCTGATTTATAATGGTTGAAACTAGTATAATGTAAGAAAAATTATTTTTGAGTTCAAATACTGATATGACATAGCAGTTAAATTTTAAATTTAATACTGTAATGGTCAATAAATATACATTTTATTTACATATAACTTCAACTCATTAGTGCTGAAAAATTGAAAGTAAAATTAACTTTCTGTAGAGCTGCCCTACACATCCATCTAACCTTAGTACGCAAAGGTTTGTTTCCAGGTGGAAGGTGAATGTGATATATGGTTATAGGGAACACACATAATTTCTTGCATTTCATTAAAAAAGTTTCATATGTTGTGTGCAAGATATATTGAAGAAATTACATTAATTAAATGCAGACTACTTCAGTAGGAACTAACAATTATTCATTACGATATTATGAATATCTATTTTGTCATTGTTGTTACCAAATATAGGCCAGCACTACTTATAATGACCAAAATTGACAATGATCATATAGGGTTGTAATATGTTGGTATATACATTAAAGATCTAATTTAACATTTATTATATACAGCATTGCAANATTTATAAAAGTGTATTGAATTTGTCATTTATTGTTCTTAAAATTTCTATAATTTATTTATCTAATTAGTAATCTAATTTTATATAAAAATTTAAGTAAATTTGCCTTATTATGAAGACTGGAAAATTCAATGCATTAACTCTTGTATTTCTAATGGTTACATACACAGAAAATGCCATGAATATAGAATTTGTGAATACTGAAAGCTAGGATTTTGATTTCTAGGCATTAAAATACTTTTCTCTATATCATTTCAAATCAAATGTATTAATTTCTTTTATGTTATGCTAATATTTTAGTTACTGTCCTCTCATCTGATGAAATGAATAAATCATGTATGTTTAATGTAGTATTGTTATAATACATTCATGATTACTTCAAATGACAATGCCCTAAAGATTAGTTTTAATGAAATGCAATTAAAATTTGTGCATAATAGCAATAATAAAACTTTAATTTTACAAAATGAAATTATGATGATAATGTTTTCAAATATTAATTACCTAGGAATTGAAGAAGCTGGTGGCACTTTAGATCATGAAGTATTTTTTGATACCTTAAAAGTACATGCAAAATTGGGTCAAGACAAAGTTAAGCAAAATGCAGAGGAAAAACAGATTAATCTTAGATACTTTAATGATGGTTCAGTGCGTATAAAAATTAGTTTTTGTATTTTTAAAGAAATTTTAAATTAATTTATTTTGAGCATCTAAATTAATTTTGTTTCCTAGATTGGAGTTTCATTAGATGAAACAGTTACAGAAAAAGACCTTAATGATTTACTTTGGATATTTGGATCTACTAAAATCATTGTAAGTTTTTTGTTCTAAATAAGAAAGATTAAAGTGTGATTAATTTTACATTATTATTAATATTACTTTAATTTTATTTGGTTATATTTTTGTTATGTTCCCTTAATTTCATAATTTTCTTGTGAATTAATATGAATAAGAATTTTATAGTAATATACAAAATCTAACAATAAATCCAATATATGCATTATATTAATTAAAAATCATGGAATTTTCTAGTAATTAATCTTTTTCTTAAGTCTGATATAGCCTCCTCTGTGACAGGAGAACCAAAAAGAAGTATTTTTTGTAACAAATTCTGCAGAAAATCTGTTTATCTTGAACATGAGGTTTTCAATAGGTATAGAAGACTGCTAAAGAAGTTTGTATTAAAATAAATGCTTTTTTATATTTAAAAATTACTTTTATTCTAGCTACCATTCAGAAAGCAGAATTGTTCGTTATATGAAAATTTTAGAAAATAAAGATATTTCACTTGTTCATTCAATGATACCACTAGTAAGATATCAATTTTAGATTGTTATATTTTTAAAATTTTGTTTGTTCATACAATAAAATTAAATAAAATTTTTAGGGTTCCTGCACAATGAAGTTAAACAGCACCACAGAAATGATGGTATGTATTATATTTTTTATAATAAATTAATTTACAATATTGTTTAGTTAAAGTTTAAATTTATAGCCCTGTTCCTGGAAAAATTTCTCAGAAATTCATCCATTTGTGCCATTAGACCAAGCTCAAGGTTACCAGGAATTATTTGAAGAATTGGAAAAAGATTTATGTGAAATAACAGGCTATAACAAAATATCATTTCAACCAAACAGGTGGGATTTTAAAGCTTTTTTTTAATTATTCTGTATATACTTCAATCAATTTAAAATAATTTTTCTGCATAGTGGTGCACAAGGTGAATATGCTGGTCTGAGAGCTATTATGTCATATCTTAAAGCAAAGGGAGAAGGACATAGAAATGTATATTTTCATTATAATAAAACTGAATAACCAAACATGCTAACAATGAAAAAATATTTATTTAGGTTTGCCTTATTCCTGTTTCGGCTCATGGTACAAATCCTGCTAGTGCTCAAATGGCAGGAATGACTATTGAACCAATAAATATTACAAAAGAAGGAAGCATTGATATGGTTCAGTTGAAGGAGAAGGTATGATTACAAAATGAGTGAATTAAAATTTTAAAAGTTGCCTAAAGTATATTAGATAATTTTCCTAATTTTTTTTTGTATTAACTTCTAAAAACTAATTTTCACATTCATTCAAGATTTATATATAATCTAATATGTAATTGCTCAATTTTTTTATGAAGCAAATTATATCAAATATTTTTACTTTGAAATTATTGATTTATTTCCTAGTATTATTACAAATGATGTAATGCAATGATATTTTATTTTTAACTCTTATATTAATTTTATTGAACAAGTTAATTATAGGCAATTATTTTCCATCATAATTTTTATTAATGTCTTGAAAAGATTACTTATATATTGTTTCTGTCTTAGAAAAATTTTTTGAAGTAAATTTATAATATTTCATCATATAATTTTTGTATATAGAGATGCCTCAGGTAATCTTGNATAAAAATGAAAATATTAAAACATGTAAATATAATTTAATTCAATAACAAGACTATAACTGTTTAAAATATATATGATTTTAATTTAATTTTGTTAAATTAAATAAAATTTCAGGAGTGCACATAAAGTACAGGGCTGTCAAGTGCTTGTTTGATGCCAAGGAAATAGATTGGGTTCCTTTTTTGCCCCCCCTTTTTTTTAACAATTGAAAAACGTAGAACGTTTGTTTGTTTCTTTAGTAATAAAAAACGTCTAAGATTTTATTTTTTGTTAGTAAAATTAACATTAATTTATAGAAGTAATTACCATTATTGCCCCAAGTTTTCTCTGATCCTGAGAAAACATCCTCAGTTTCCCTTCTCAGTGATTCTGATAGTGTTAATTTGTATTTATTATGGATCTAGAAATGTAAAATCTTTAAAATTTATTATAGAAAAAACAGATGAAAGATCAAAAACTTAGCAAAATATTTTTTTTCCCTGAATGTATTAGTTATGCATTTAAGATAGAAACATAGAAAAAGAAAAATCTCTAAAGTTTTTCTTTTCTTATTTATGATTAGGTAGAATACTTTAAAGATAAATTGGCATGTATAATGATAACATATCCATCCACAAATGGCATATTTGAAGAAGGTATAAGGTAAGAAATTTTAAATTTTATGTTATTCTGATTATTAAATATAATTTTAAATCATTAATTTACAACTGTAGAGAGATCTGTGATATGGTTCATCAGAATGGAGGCCAAGTATATTTAGATGGTGCTAATATGAATGCCCAAGTTGGTTTGTGTCGACCTGGTGACTATGGTTCTGATGTATCCCATCTTAATTTGCATAAGACATTTTGCATTCCTCATGGAGGTGGAGGTCCTGGAATGGGTCCAATTGGAGTGTAAATATATTTAACTACAAATAATAAATAATTAGTATTAGATTAATAAATAAAAAAATAATATTTCAGGAAATCTCATCTCATACCATTTCTACCATCTCATCCTGTGGTAGATCCATTACCTGGAATAAAATCTGCCCAATCCTTTGGTGTTGTTAGTGCTGCTCCATGGGGATCATCTGCTATTCTTCCTATTTCTTGGGTTTATATTAAATTGATGGGAGCCAAAGGTCTTAGACATGCTACAGAAGTAGCAATATTAAATGCTAATTATATGAGCAAGAAATTAGAAAATCATTTCAAAATTTTATTCAGGGGTCAAAAAGGTTTGCATTTATTTCTTATAAACTTACTGTATAATAAAATATATAAATAAGTAATATAAACTTTTCACTTGTAAAATATTTAAGCAGCATAAAAATTAATGTAATTTACATAGTTATTTGAAAATATTCAATTCAACTAGAAATAATTAAGTACCATTCTACATGTTAAAATTTTAAAATACTTCCAAAAATGTTGTATTACAATTTTAAAGTTTTTGTACATACTACACAAACAATTCTCTGATCATTCAGGAATGTCAATTTTCCTTGTACGTGACAGTGATATACTTGCTACAAAAATGACATGGCATCCTGTTATGTTTATTGTCTCGAAGTTACAACCAAAGTGAGCGCTCAGGTACCGTTCCCGTGATGCATCAGCAATGATCGCCACCTGGCGGACTCACTAATATTTTACATTTTAACATTTCCAATACAATACATATTACATCTCCCTTTCTTACACAAAGTCTTTGAAACGCGATGGCCTACGGATCACCCGGCCTGATCGAGTTGTCAAGTCTGTAGCCTCATTGCCGCTCACCTCCTGATTTTCCAACTGCTCATTCTCCGTGTCCTTTTCCTCTCTACCACTGAAGTTCTCTCTACTGCTATCCATGTTTTCCCCTTGTTCACTGGCCTGTTCATCCTGAATTGGTTGATCCAACAATTCGCCTGAATGATTCTGTATGTTTCTAAATCTATTCACATCGAACTTCCTTAAAAGTCTTCGGTTACGAATGAAGTATTTACCATCTTTGTCTATGCGCACAATATAAGATCTTGGTCGATATCTGTCTCTTTTTATTATTTCACCAGGCTCCCAGTTTCTTTTATCAATTTGGATCATCACTCGGTCATGTGGATTTAATGCTGTTAGGTCTCTAGCATTTCTATTGAAATAGTGTTTCTGTACTTGTTGTCTTTGCAAATGGTTTTTTCTAAATTTGTCTACAACTATTCTGGGTTTCAAGAGATTATTCCTTGTGGGCACTTGCCCTCGCAACCTACGACCATAAAGAAGTTGTGCTGGGGATGGAATACCTCGACCTAAAGGTGTATTTCTGTATTCCAACAAGGTCAGATAAATGTCCTTTGAGTCATAGACTGCTTTCTTAAGTAATTTTTTGATAGTCTGCACATGCCGTTCAATAAAACCATTAGACTGAGGGTTTCGTGGAGAGCTTGTCTTATGTGTTATTTCCCAGTGTTCTAGAAATTGTTGAAAATGTTTGTTTACAAACTGGGTATCATTACCTGAGTATATAATTTCTGGCTTGCCATGTCTGGAAAATATCGATTTCATAGCTTCAACTATTCTGGAATGAGTGGTGTTCTGATTCATACAATAAACTTCTGGGAATCGTGAAAATGTATCTACTACTAGTAGATAGTCTTTACCAAATAAATGACAGATATCAGTTGTGACAATTTCCCACGGTCTTGTGGACAGTTCTCTGTTAATAAGCGTTTCTTTCGGATTTGAATTTTGATACTTTAGACATGCTGGACAGTTCCTGACAACATCAATTATTTCTTTTTCCATGAACGGCCAAAAGACATGTTCTTTTGCTCTCCATAATGTTTTACTGATTCCCATGTGATTATAATGTAGTCTATCAATTGTCTCTGCTCTCATGCTCTTGGGAATAACTATTTGTTCACCTTTACATACTATGCCTCTCACCTCACTCAGGTCTTCACGAAACTTCCAATATGGTTTGACTAGTGGATCTATCATGTTTTTCTGTTCTGGCCAACCTTCCTTTATTATATTAATCAGTGACTGTAACTCTTTATCTCTTTTTGTTTCATGCCGAAGTTTTTCAAATTTCTTTGGAGTAATGCTACAGTAATTGATAAGGTTAACTTGAGCTTCAACATCAGATTCCATCACATCAAAATTCTTGTCCACATAGCTAGCTCAAGAAAGGGCATCAGCCAACACAAGGTGTGATCCTGGTCTGTATTTTACTCTAAAATTATAATTTTGTAAGGTTATCCTTAATCTCTGAAGGCATAGTGGGCATTTATTTAGTGGCTTTTGAAAAATTGCCTCTAACGGTTTATGGTCACTCTCAACTATAATTTCACGACCATACACATACTGGTGAAAACGCTGGCAGCCAAACACTATTGCCAGTGCTTCTTTTTCAATTTGCGCATAATTTTTCTGGGTCTCTGTGAGAGTCTTTGATGCATAAGCCACCTGGCGGACTCACTAATATTTTACAATTTAACATTTCCAATACAATACATATTACACATCCTGCTAATTGTTTTACTTTTTCCTGGAGCAAAAGTCTTAATATTCCAGCTTGGCCAACAGCTAAGCTGCAAAACCATTCAAGTAGGGATTTGTCTACTTTCTCCATGCCAAAATGTTTATGCCACATGATTGTCTTTCCAAATTCAAACTCTTTTGCAATATCATCTTGTTTTCATTTTTTTGTGTGTAAAATTGTTGACTCATTCACACCTAAACTTTTCAGCAACATTTTTTTTTTGTTTCTATCCACTTTTAAGCAACTGCACAATTTCATATTTTTGTTTTAAATCCAAATTATATCTTGGTCTTTTGCTTGCTATTCTTCATTTTAGCTCAAGGCCAAAAATGCTGTCTGCCAAGCAACACAGAAAGCCTAGGACATTTAATCCATTTTGTTAGATAACAGGAGGAAGGTAGGGGTGTTCCTTGTCAAAGCATGCTAATAGGTAAACTAATTTCATAGGTGGTGCACAAAAAATGCAGATTACTATTAGCCAAACTACTTTACTTTACACTAGGAAAATCCTGTACATTGTATTAGAATATCTTGCTTTTTAAGTAAACATTGCTATTAGGGACTTTCTAATAGACAAGTTCTACTAAAATTTAGTATTTTGATTTTTACAATTTAACTAGTGATCATACTATTAAAACAATGCTAATTTTAAAAGTTATTTAAATATGAATAAATCTATGCATAGAAATTAGTTTTCTACATTTATTCAATTAATATGTTAATAAATATAATCTCCACAGAAATGAATTCAGTCATTTCATTAACTATCTTTTCTGAAGTTTTATGAATGTGAATGCTTCCAAAAATATAAACTATTTAATTTATTAATAAAGTATTAGGTTGTTCAGAAAGTAAGTTCGTTTTTTTATCACTGCAGGGATTAGTCATATTTTTCCCGCCATTTTCATTCTATCATTATATATTTTGACAGCTAGCATTTTAAGGCTTATTTGTAAAAAATTTAGTTTGATTTCGTGCAGTTCTTTATTTTTTGTGTCCCATCAAATATGGAAGATCGGCATATTTTGCTCTTTTATTACCGAAAAGGTAAGAATGCTGTTCAAGTGAGAAAAAAATTGTGTGAGGTGTATGGAGATGTATTGACAGAATGACTACTTTGACAGAACAATACTTTATTAATAAATTAAATACTGGTAATATATAGAAAAACTAAAAAACTAAATTTTTTTTTTCACTAGAGTAATATTCTGAAATTATTAAGTTTTGATTGACTAATTTAGACCACAGAGCAATAAGTATGTTCTTATTTAGGATGCTTGAATTATCAAACTTATAAATTATTAATTTCACTATTTACAATAGGAATGGTTGCACATGAATTTATTATTGATGTGAGAGATTTTAAGAAAACTGCAAATGTTGAAGCCATGGATATTGCTAAGAGATTGCAAGATTATGGTAATATAATAATTTAGCAAACTATTATTATTATTATTATTATTATTAATTTATGAAAATAAAAAATTAACATTTTTATTAGGCTTTCATGCTCCAACGGTGTCATGGCCAGTCACTGGAACTTTAATGATTGAACCAACTGAATCAGAAGATAAGGTGGAACTTGATAATTTTTGTGAGGCTCTCATTTGTAAGTTATTCATTCAATTATTTAAAAACTTACAAAAGAAATAGAATAAAATTATGACATTTCAATAAGAATTTTTTTACATTTTCTTTTAGATATCAGAATGAATAATTTAATTCAATATAGTGAATCTATTACTTTGTTATAAATCTTAAGTGTGTTTTTATTTTTTTATTTTTTAAGATCAAAATATTATTTTAATGATTGTATTCTTAAAATAACATTAATTTTTTCCTGTTTAAGAGATTTGTGGAACAGATGGATTTATAAATTTAGTTTTATATACTGTACTATAATACAGAACAAAATTTTTAATTGATTTATAAATGTTCATTTATAAATCAATTAGCACAAAGGGGCTGTCCATTCTCTTCTTGTTATGTGCAATGATATACTTTTGGCAAACATCTCCCCTTTTAATGACTTTCAGTTTTAAAAAATTTACAGAACTTTTAGTTTATTTTCATGACTAATAAGTAGACTTATAAGAAAGATTCATATACCACTGATACCACTAAAAAAGTCCACATTGACAATGCCTTTGTGGCGCCCGTCGGCAATGTGCCGATTCGGACCGATAGTATTGGCCCGATGGAGGGCGCAGGAAAGAGGAGAAAAGCGAACTTTGAACTGGACACTCGCTTTCGGACCAACGATTATCGAGATCGGACGTTTGAACGAGCGACCAACACAACTTTCGATCGATGTCGAACCGTAAAAACATTGTACTGTATATACATTGTACATTACTGTATATACGTGTAAATAAAAAAATATTAAGAAACCGACCGGACGTTCTCTCGTCAGCATCGAATCAGTCTCATTTGATGACCGAACACCAAACCTTGATCCCATTCCTGTCCATCATGTGCAATGCTGCTTTTCATAACTTCCTCCCCCTTAAACTGTATATATAATTAATAGGTGGCCCAAAATTTGATGATAGTCCATTCCTCATAAATTAACAGAGTATAAAATGTTTTCTCAGATTTTAACAAAAGATGTTTCTTCAAATACGCTAAATTACTTATTAATCTAATTTTAATAATTTATTTTTATACTTTATTCAGAGTTATTTAAAATACAGTAAGATCCCGCTTAACTCTGCCTCGTTTAACGCTGATTCGATATAACGCGGTCTGCTCGAAGCCATAAAAAAAGCTCAAAATTTACGCCGATTCAAACTATCGCTTCATTTCATTGATTATAATACGATTATTCCCGAACACGAATCGATCAGCAAAAGGTGGCAATTCGTCGTAGCGCTGTACTTTCTCTAAATCTATGTTTGTTTGGTGCAATTTTGGAAAAAAATATAACATCACAGATGTCATAGGCAATATCGACTTCGCTTGGCAAGAATTAACTGATAATAAGATGAGAAGAAAAATGCATGAACAGTGTGTGGAAGAAGTTTTATGTCGGAAGGTATCCAAGAATTCTCAACGAGAAGAGCATATCGCTGTATCGTTAGGTCGACCAAATTGTTAACTTAATCGATACAGCAAGACTAGGAGATGTAGACGAGCAGGATATTGTGGAGTTACTGCAGATTTCTGGTGAGAGCCTTACCAACGACGACCTTCAAGAACTGGCAGAACGAGGAATTCATGTAGAACTGGAAAATAGAGATTCTGAAAACGAAGAATCCAAAAAGTTTCTCTACAGATTTCCTTAGTAAAAGTTTGGTAACGATAAATGAAATCGTCGATCAAATTGTAGCGAATGATCCAGAATTTGAAAGAAAGCGGGAGATCGCATTCAAAACTTCTCGAAGTTTTGAATGCGATCTTCCGCTACCAACATTTGCTTAAGGGAAGAAAAAGAAAGCGACAAATGAAACTACACGACTTTATCGCAAAAACAAGAATTTCGGAAGAGCCAGGACCTTCGTCACAAAAAATGAACTTTACATTTTTTACATTTCTGTGTGCATGTTTGTGTTATTAATTTGCATAATAATATATGTTAAATATAAAAATAACTTAAACAGATTTTACTTTAATTTTTATTTTTGGTCGCATTTTCCCCTTTCCCTATCTGTGTTAAAATAATCTCGTTTAACGCTGTTTCGTTTAGCGTTTTGTCGTCTAGGAACGTATCTCCCGCGTTAAGCGGATTTTTACTGTATATGAAATCAAATTTTTAATGATAATAGTTTAAAAGATTTTTTTAATATTTAAAATTTTTTTTCTATGTAGCCATTCTTGGAGAAATAAAGGACATAGAAAAAGGCCGTTTAGATAAAAAAGTTAATCCACTTAAGGTTTGGATCTTTTTAATAATTTCTAAAATATATGTTTAAATTAAGCCAAATGATTTATTTTCATATAGAAACTTTTTAAAAAGAAACAAAAGAAAGCTGTTACTCATTTTATATATTGCATTATTTGCAGAAAAACAATTAAATTTTGTATTTTGTTTTCTTAAAATTAATTGTAAAAAATTTAAAAAGTTAATTGTTTAATAACTTTTTAAAATTATTTAACAATAAACATAAAAAGATTAAATATATTTATTACTATTTTTAGATGGCACCTCATACTCAGAGAATTATATGCTCCTCTAAATGGGATAGACCATATTCCAGGGAAATGGCAGCATTTCCAGTTGTAAGTTTCTATATATTTATATTTTAAAAACTTTAAGGCTTTATTTTTATTAAATTTTTAATTCTACATTATTTCAGAGTTTTGTGACACCAGAAAGAAAAATATGGCCAATGGTCTGTCGCATTGACGACATTTATGGCGACACAAATCTCATTTGTACTTGCCCACCAATGGAAGCATTTAAATCAGCCATGATTTAACCTTGCCATCTTTTGTAAGGACTGATAGTGTGTTTGTATTGTAAATATTGATGAATGCGAATGACTGCAACTGTGTAAAATAAATATATTTATATATGTATAAGGATTAATATTTGAAGTATTTGAATATAACTGATTCTGAAATACACACAAATATACCCAAAACCACTAAAAGGAATAAAATTATTTACTGATACGAACGTTTTCGCCCTTTTCTAAGGAACATCATCAGCTATATGATAACGTTGCTTAACAATCGAATACATTTACGTATAAAGATTTGAAGACGTTTGAATCGCGTACATGCGCATTGTCATGGTATTACCAATCTAAACATAGAAAATATTACAAATTTGAAGCTGTAATTTTTAAATTAATTTTGTATATTTTAATTTTAAACTTAAAATGTCAGTAGGCAAGGAGTGTAATAATTTAATCTACATACAGTTGAATGGAAATCCTAGGCGACTTGGTAACACGCCTTCCATTCGGTAGAAAGTGTATCAGTCTCTAAAACTGATAGCCCCTGGTTCCTAACATCATCTAAATATCTAAAATGTGCTGTATCCGAGTCCGATATAGTAGACGCGGCAGGGTCCGCTCTAGCGGTTACGTCGCCCCGGACAAGACAAATTGCCGCCCCTTAAGAATATATATATTTATATATATATATAAATGTTACGAATACATTGGTGGTAGCAACTAAACTTGATGGTAAATTATAAAGCAATGTAATANTATATATTCATATTCTTATTTTAAATAAATTTTTTTTATTTTCAATAAAAATGAAATGCTTTTATTAAAATTTAAATAAAATGAATATTTAGAAAGAAACATATAACATAACATTGATAATCAAGCAGTACAAAACAGTAGAAATTAAGAAATATTTGTACCTAGCGACAAATAGTCAGCATTTAACAATATAAATTTTTACATTTTTATTAAAAATGTATTATTGCAAAAACAATCAAAATGCCATTATTTTGAAAATAAAACAAGGTAACATCAACTCCGCTAAAATCACAAACTTTTTTTCTTACTTTCAGTTATACAAACTTTTTTATTGTTGCATCTTTTTTAAATTTACTTGATCAGCAATTTCATGTACAGTCTGAAATTATGGAAAAATATTTTGATTTTTTTATTTCATCAATAATATGAGACTTATCTCATATTATTGAGCAACATATCTATTATCTCGTTTTGTATATTTTTTCCGAGATAGTGAGCTTTAGTCTCTTCTTCTTTTTTTAGCACTTTACGGACGTGCTCTTCCATAATGGGATCAAATTGAGATAGCAACGCAACTATTTTTAAGAAATTACCGTTTTTATACTCAAACAACTTGTCGCTTGTACCTTGAAAAGCCAGACCACTTCTACCAAGCATTTCAGTAATTGCTACAATTCTTAGAAGCACCTCGTTCCAATGATTTGTTTCGGCATTAATAACTTTTTGAGAGGCCGCATCTATAGTTTTACAATACTTTAATCTTAGATTTATTTCTAGCCATGATTTTTGGAAATTTCATGCTCTTTTAAAATTTCGCCAAGGTGCTTCCAACTTTTAAAACCCTCCTTTGAAAGAGAACTAACTATATAGCCAAAAAATTTTCAACAGAAGCAGTAAACGCAGTTTTGTGAAAGAGAGTACACTAGCCAGTCTCGTAAAACTTGCTCTCCATTGCTTAAAATTCGTGTATAATAATTTACACTAAAATATCGACCAGTGTCATTGGAAGGAAATTTGTAATCATGCAATGGTTTAGGTGGACCTTGTCTTACTAAAAAGCTTCTTTCGGCATTTCCTAAAATTCTTGGCCACAATGCTGGATCTGTACTCAAAGTGTGTAGAACGCTTCCTGTGGGAGTCACGTTGGTGTCAATTTTTCAATGATTTCATCTGGTGATGATAGAGTCAGTTACAATTGATTTAGAAACTTCGTCCATTTGTTTGTCATCATCATCCTCTGACGATTTTGTATTTTCTTTTATAACCGGACTTGATGTTGGATTCTCAGAATCGTCATTTGTTTTGGTACAACTCTGGATATAATTTTTTAACACGCCAGCTTGTTTTTGCCTTTAGGCTTCCTTTTCCAGCCTTCTTTTTTTGTACTAGTAACCAGACAGTTTTCTTTGACCGTTAGACATTCTGGAAGAGACACGCACATAACTCAAATTAAACAATGTGAACTATAAAATCATATTTAAAAATAATAAAGATCTATCCTTGTTCTAAATAAGCTAAAACCGTAATTAACATAACTTCAAAATTATATTCTGTCAATGGATATAAAAAGTACTGTATTTATGGCTTACACGTAATATTTTTCGTATCCTGTGAACGTAAAGAAAGTCTAGTGTTTTTATAAATGTATTTTATAATAATAAATATTTCAGCAAACCATAAATAGTCATTAAAAACAATTTTATAATTCTTGATTTTGAGATTTTATTCAGTTCAATTATTCAAATATATTATTATAAAACGCGTTTTATCGAAGCAATGAACTTAATAAATGTCTTATATTATTGATTCAAATACAGTTGTCCCTTAATAATCCGACAGGTACGGGACCAAAGGGGTGACGAATTACCAAAAGTGTCCGGATTACCGAAAGTGATTACATATTTGACATTGTTTTGCTAGCTGTAGCCTACAATATTCCCTACTCCAACTGTTCGAACAGAACTGCTCATGGAAAACACATGAAATGTGTGTCATCATGTAAGAATTGGGTGGGGNAGTCAGTCAGTCAGGACAAGCAACTTTATATTATTAGATTATACCTATAGAATACATTCAATTTAATAAAATGTTTTATTGATTTAATAAACAGCCTTTTTGGATAAATTAAATATTTATTTTATTTAAAAACGCTTTCGTTGTTTCGATTCGATAATCGATTTACGATAAACTAGTATGTAGCTATCAAACTAAACAACAGCTTAATTATAGATGTATTACTTTTAAAAATTAAGAAATGGCACTTAAGTAAATTTTATGAACTTTCGCTTGTTATCACTGCCGACGTAATAGCATGAATAATGCTATTGTGTAATGAAACCGCTCTTTTATAATATAATTAGAGGTAAGTATAAGCGAGTCTATGCATGTTCAAACACAAGCAGGAGCAGCGTCTGCTCGCGTACTTTTTTTTTATTTTTATTACTCTTTCCGCCCTGTGGAGGGAGGGCCTCTTATAGCAGGACCATTATGGGTTCGGCCAGGCCCACAATGGGGCGACCAGGTGGTAAGGGACGGGGCCCGACGTATCCGAACGGACCACCCCCCGAAAAATTCCTGGGGATTCCTTGACCCGTCCGGATTTGATCCCGGGTCCCTCAGAGCGGTAGGCTGCCATCTTGACCGCTCGGCCATCCATCCCTGCTCGCGTGCTAATGCTATTCTGTTCAGAGAAGTATATGCGTGTTCAAATAACTTCAAGCATCGTCCTTTACAAAGTCTGCGTTAATTTTTCAATAATAGTGTAAATATTTTTAGCTTTTAGACATAAACAATATAAATACGATACGCACTGTAAATTTTTAGAAAACGAAAAATCGATAAGTGAAATTTTCTATTAATTGAGTATTTAACACCAATATTTTTCTCACACTTACAGTCAAAATGGTGCCTCTAAACTTTGGCGCCCCGGACAAATGTCCGTGTTGCCTGCCCATAGAGTGGGTCCTGGACGCGGGTACAACTGCAGATGTGTGTGAATGATGCTGTTGGGACCATAATAATAAACGCAGAACCCAAACGGTTAGGAGTCGAAAGTTGAAATTTGGTACACCGTTACGTAATGAGAATGCACACTAAAAAAGAGATTTTTGGACATTACCCCTCGCGGGGAAGAGGAGGAGACCCTGAAAAACTCGGCTTCTACTATACTATTTTAGAAGCAGATTTTGGGAGAAATCGAACATATTTTTAGATCATCTAAAAATTTTATTCGAGGGGGAATCTAATTCTTGCACCCGGTAAAAATGGGTAAGATCGGCTATAATCTAATAATCTTAATTTTCGTTATCTTTACTTTTTGCCGGAGCAACGCCAGGCTCATCTGCTAGTCAAAAATAAATATGAACTTATAAGAACTTAACGATCACAAATGTAATCTTTGGTTTCTAAAACATTTTTTAAGTTACTAATAAAATAATTTGGTCTTGCAATTAGTGCCGTAATTATTTTTTTTTCAATTAAAAGACAAGACAAAATAGTAACAAAACGTGCAGGCCAAAAATGACAAAAAAAAAAAAAAGGGATGGGGCTAAATTTAAAAAGAAAGACTAAAATACAATGAGAAACTTAACTAATGCTAACCAAATATATTTTAAAATTAGTTAAGCATTTGCTAAATTTCGATTATTTAATTACGGGAATAGAAATAAAAAGATAGCCTATAGAAGTTTTAAACTGAAAGCTAATTTTTGAGATTTGTTTTGGTGTAGTTTTTATTCAATAGTCTAGATGACAAATGTTATAAAGATCATTTAGGACAATTTTCAACATAAAATGCATTGTCACCTACTCTATTTGGAGACATTTTCAATTGTTACTGTTGAAACTGTGTTTACTTCGGGGCTTTCTTCTTTACTGTCGTCGTCACATATCTTGTTTACTCGGGTTTCGTTTCTGCGTGAAGTATTGCTTGTCAGCATGCCATATTTTCCCAACTGCCTGCAAAAAGAACCAGGCGAGAGCTCATGTCAGTCATTGCTTTTAGGATTACTGACTATACACAGTCAGTAATCCAGTCGCTAGTCTGGTAGCCATACGTGCAAGGAATGGTTGGATTAGCAAGAGTTCAGTTTATAATTTTTAACTTTTAAATTGTCAGATTTTAACGAAAAAAACTGAAATTGAAAATTTAATTTAATATGTATTAAAAGACTTAAAACTTACAAATTTTATCTATTCAAAGCATTCTTATTCTAAATCAGGTTAGCATTTCAAGAAATGACCAGAAAACTAGACAGATTCTGAAATAATTATTTTATTAATGGGTGTGCTAGTGCTTTGATGAAATGGCTAGACATTTTTTAAAATGATAAATTTCAGTAAACATTTCTAAAGAGAATTGATGTAAAGGTCTACTTAATATTAAATGAAATTGAGATTGTGATCTTGAATAAAATATACAGTTTAATGTTTTTTTAATATAAAATATTAAAAAATAATAATAAAATTTGTGAAAAATATTTTTAAATTAGCATATTTATTTATTTCTTTTATTATAACTAAACAAGAAACATATTAGCAATGGCTAATAGAATATGTCACTCAGAAAATAATTTTTAATGGTTAAATATATTTCGTATCGGCTAATTTTAAATTGTTGTATAGTTAAACAGAGAAAAACGTAATAATAATTTCCTTATTATAAAGAATTCATTTGTTAAAATAAATAAAACTTACATCTTTTATTCCAAAATTTACAAAAACGTTGATAAGAAAAACGTAACTTTTAAAGAAAGTTAATAAATTATATTATAATCAGGAATTTATATAGTAAAATAAATAAAACTTACATCTTTTATTCCAAAATTTACAAAAACGTTGGTAAGAAAAACGTAACTTTTAAAGAAAGTTAATAAATTATATTATAATCAGGAATTTATATAGTAAAATGAATAAGGAATCGAGAGAATTACCTGGAAAAAGTAGTCACTTTGCTCTTCTGGGTCAACATACAGCCGGTCTATGGAGATTTAAAAAAATGACAGATATTGATATTGAAGTGGAGAAACATTCATATCCAGCTCACAAATCTGTTTTAACTTGTTATTCTCCTTATTTTAGAAAAATACTGATGGAATCTGAGAAACAGTCTCTGAAAAATGTATGTAAATCTAATTTTACAATAATTCAGTTTTATTCAATTATTAGATAAAAGTCAAAAGATTATGAACTATTAACAGATTAAACTGAAATCCATTACTGCCGAAGCATTCGGAATTTTACTAAATTACATGTACACGGGAGAACTTGATATCAATTGTCAGAATTTGACTGATGTTTATCAAGCATCCAAAACACTCGAGATACACGAAGTATCCGAACATTGCAATAAGGTATTTACCATTTTCATTTCACATAATTGCAATTTTATTTTAAGAAATAAATTTATTTTGTAGATATTAACAAATCCCGAAAATAATGTCAATAATCTACTTTCCATATACGTGACGGCTAAGAAACTGGGTCTTCGCCAAACTTGGCAAAGAGCTCTTAAGGCAATGGCTAGAAAATTCGAAGAGGTTATTGAGTGTAAAGATTTTGTAGTTTTGAATGTAGAACAGATTTGTGAATTCCTCTCAGTTGATGTTATTGGAGCTAGAAGGTAATTCTCTCTTGGATTATTTGCATAACATTCTTAAAATGACGTCAGTATATGTCACTGGCTTCTGGGTGACTCGGAATAGATCCGGGCCAGTAACCTTAGAAACTTTTCATAGACGGTCTGTGCTCCGTTCCTCACTGCGTGGTCGTCCTGTTGGGAGTCTGGAAGAACCCACGGTTGGCTTAAAATATGAAGATTTTTTCAATTTATCTATATCTATATATAAATATGTATAGATAATTTTCAGTTACCATCTCCAAACAGAGTTTATTAAATTTATATTTAATCTATATTCAACGTACGATTATTATAACTACTCGTGCGTTTTTAACTATTAAATTAATGAAACAAATTATTATTTTAAATAATTTATTAATTTTTCCAAAAAATATTTAGCGAAATGGTTGTATACCTCGCGGCATTAAAATGGCTCAATCACAATTATTTGGAAAGAGAACAATATATCAAGCAAGTGATAGATAATGTGAGATTCCAAATGATGTCTTTGGAAGAAATAGTGGCGTGCTACCATCCGCCACTTCTACCCGGAATCATTGAACATGCCGTAATCAGAAATCTTCTTATTGATGCCACGAGGTATGTATGCAGCAATGCAATAGTTAAATTAACTTATGTAAATAAAATTTGCATAATTTGTAGTCATGTATCGGCAAAAATGTGCGGAAGAGTAGAAAAAATTTCTGATATTAATCATCCAATTAGACATTACCTTTTATGCGGACGACCATTTCTATTTTGGGTAAGATTTTGTAAAAATTTGAGTATGAGTATTTCGTAAATTTTAATAAGTCTATATTTTATACGTTTATTACGTCTATAAATCCAGGATACATTCAGAGGTGACTCCGAACAAGCCCTGCTTCGTGAACGGGCCAGTAGAAAGATACAAGCTTCGTTTCGACTATACCGATTAAAAAAACTATTCGGAAATAAAAAGAATAAAATAATTACATCGCAAGCAATAATTAGAAGCTTTTTAGTCAGAAATACTACTAAGTATTCTCGTAAATTTGAAGTAAGGATGACAAAAGCGTGTTTCAAATTTATTTGAAATATTTTGAGAAAAGTTCAAATAAATTATTTTATGTTTTAGGATGCTTTCAAAGGAATACATCATACTAAAGACACAGGAATTTCAGCAAATTACATTGATGTAGTAACCACTGATCCGAGTTTGCAATTACTTTTACAGAAAAGCTCGTCTAATTTCGCCACAGATTGTACTAAAAATTTAAAAGAAGTTCTTGGTTCTATACAGTTGTGGGAAGAACCTACTTTGGTTGTTATATGTGGACTCGATCCTATGAGAAGAAAAGATATCACAAATGGTAAATAATCAAAAGAATTTCAAACAGAAATTTTTAATTGTGCTTTGCTTCTCTCAGTTATTATTATTACTTTCTTAAGTAGAAAGGACGATGCTGCGATACAATTCAAACCAACACGAATGGGAACGTTGCGGTAAACTACCAATGTCTCTACATCATACAGTAGCAGTGTGTTATGAAGATAGTCTCTATTGTATAGGTATAACTCATTTTTATTTTTTGTGTTGAATATTTTATCGTTGCTTTAAAGTATCTGCGATAACATTTTCTGAACTAATTAATAAAATAATTTTCCCATACCCTTAAAACGTTGATGAGGATTGTAATACCAGTATATGCTTATATATTTTACAGTATATTTTTACACATAACTATCGCATTAACAATATACTGTATTTTTAATTTCGCTCACAACTGACGAACCAATTTAATTATTTGTTGTTTTAACTACTGTATTTAGAATTATTACTGACAACTATTTATTTTCAAATTTGAATAATCTGAATTGAAAAATAAATGAACGTTTTCTATCTTGTAATATCAGAAGTGAAGTCGGATTGCTAATAAAATTAAAACAGTTTACATACAATAGCGAATCCCAAAATAAATCCAATTTAATGACATAAAATTTGAAAATAATTTACAAATAGGACATTAAAAAGGCTGAAATTTTAGAAATATTTTTATTATCATTAGGTACATTGCAGTAATGCCATTGTTTTTATGTCTTTTTCGTTTAAACTATAAATTGAATCAATATGTCCACATATTTTCAGAATAAAAAATATTAATGCAACATAAAATATTTTTGTAGTGAACCTAAAATATTATTGATCTTAATCTAGAAGTTTTTCAAAATTATTTTTATAAATGCTTCGATTACAGATCAATATTGAAAAGCACATATTAATGTTACAGGTGGATGCGATTTAGAAGAAACACAAAAAGGAAATATAATATCAACTTCATCATGTTATCGATTTAATTACCGAAACAAATCATGGTTTACCATGAAAACTATGCATCATGGTCGAATGTACCACGGAGTAGCAGTTTTATTTGGCATGATTTATGCGGTTGGAGGAAAAGACGAAAGAAAGAAGTATGAAAAGTTTTCTTACATTCAGATTTGTTTCTTGTATTTTTACTGTAAAATATTGACAGGTTATTATCGTCTATTGAATCATATTATCCGGATACGGACACTTGGTTTGAAGTGAAAAATCCACTTTCTCACCCAAGAATGGGAATGGGTGTTGTTTCTCATAATGATTTGCTATGGGTAATCGGTGGGATGAAACAATCACTTACTGAAGATAAAGTGTACATTGTTACGGATGTTGAGTGTTTTGATCCTAAAAGCAACTGGTAAATAATTATACCAAAGTCTTTCCATAATTATTTTTAAAATACGCTAAAATATATTTTTTAAAGATTCATATAAATCATAGAAACTAACTAAAATAAAATCAGTCGTACCGTCTATATGACATTTCAAGCTTTTATAATGGACTTTTTAATAATTCTATATTTGTTCAGACTAAATATTTTTCAAATAGGAAAAATTTTTAAAAAAAAGTAGTGTATAAAAATGGATACTCATAATTTATAATTCGAGGACGAATATCCATTTCTATACACTTTCTTAACCGCTAGACTTGTGATAAATAATAAGTTGTTCTTCATATAATCTATTTTTAATTCTTTTTTCCGGCCGTCTCCTAAAATTTTAAGATCTGTTCTCGTTAAAATACTTTAATGAATTAAAATTTCTCATAATTCGATGCCTTCAAATTAGCTGGACTGTAAAATATGCTAAACTTCCAACACCTTTAACTGCGATTGGTTGTGTAGAACATAAGAAAAAACTATACATTGTGGGTGGACAAGAGAAAGTAAAGAATTCTCTCTGTAGTATTTCTGAAGTATATTGCTACATTGATGAGGAAGATGAATGGTTACCATGGACCCCATTACCTTCCCCGAGACATGGAGTTACAGCTGTTTCTGTTGGTATGTATTTTCATTGTTTGAAAATTTATTTTACTTTAAAAAATATTTGTATAGTCTGAAAAATTTAGAAATGTCTGAGATTTCCAAATGTTTTCCATACTCTCCAAATTTTTCTCATGTAATTTTTTTAGTTTTATTATAATTATATTAAATTAAACGCGTATTATTACTAATTTAAATTTATATTATTTTAGGTAGCACTTTATTTGTGATTGGAGGATTGACCTCTTACCAAAAATTTGCTATTTCTGATTTCATAAGCATGGATTACATCAACAGATCATGGAATAAATGTGAACCATTACCTTTTCCCATGTGCGGAATAGCTGCAGTTTCTCTTCCTGTTCTAGAACATCATTAATCTGTAATGTTAATTACAGACTTTATGAAAATAATATAAACAAGCGATGTTTCAAGTGTTGTTAAATAAAGCAATTTCTCTCTACGAATTTGCCAAATAAATAAAATCTGTGAACACTGGTAGTTCGCCGCGGGTCGTGCCTCGACAACGGGCTGACCAAGTGGCATTTTCTTCACGGCTCTAATATTAAATAGGAGCCAGTTTTCCGCATAAAATCCTCCCTGGCAGAATGCTCACGTGTTGAGTTACGTTATGCCATCACTCCAATCCAATTCTTTCCGTCTTTATTTTTTAATTTCTTGCCTTTACTTTCTCGGCTGTTGGGTACACTTAACAAGAGAGTGTATTAAAATCGTATCAAATTTGACTCTTCTTTCCTTTTGCAAAATCTGCACGTTTTGAGACCTTCTGCATAAAAAAAAGTAAAAAAAAAGGAAAAAATTCCGTGAGTATGTATGTGTGTATGTACAGTACAGTATGTGTGCGTGTATTAGCATCTATTTCGTTTAATATCTCAGGATAGGATAAAGATTAAGAAACAAAATTTAGCATGACAGCTAGTATATAAGGGACACTGATGCTATTAAATTTTGGTGGTTAAAGGTCGAAGGAATGGTGAGATCGAGGTGAATCACTTGTGATATCTCGAGAAGGATCGAATTTAATAAAGATTTTACTCGTTATTAACATTTACAATTTTTGTTTTTTTATTTATAAAGCGCAGCCCTACCCTCAAAATTAATCTTCTTGCCATTTCCTAATAATTAATAATATAAAAATTTTTATAACAGATGGCGCCACACACAATTTTATTTATTAAAATTAATAATATAAATGTTATGTTATATTCTTAATAAAATTTCATTGCAGCCGGGAAAGTTACGCAAGTCGTTGCTAGATTTTTTTAAAGATATGTAGTCATTTATGACAGAGAAATCAAAATATAAATTAATATTTTTATGATTAGATAATTCTTGGGAATTCGGCAATCCTGCTTGTGCATGTTTAATTATGTTTATTTTGGTTGAGTACATACCTGTTGATTGCATTCCAACAGGAAAGGTAATATTTTTATGCTTTTAAATTAAGCTGGCAGCGGGAATTCTTTATGGACAGACTGTCTCGGATATATCGGGTCGTGTATCTCACCTCAGACATTCCTATAATGGGTCTGGCCGAATCCATGATGCATATGATTAAAAAGGTCTCAGTATTCACAGAGCAGAAAAGATCAAAAATGAAAAAAAGCCTCATTTGCAAGATTAGAAATTAACGTCGATAAATTACTCGTATTTCAGAAAATTGGAGTTAAACCATCTCATTGATCAACATATTTGCAGAAATAGCTGCATTTCTGTATGGCGGATTTATGGATAATCTAATTAAATTTTTGTGTAGGGCTCCGAACATTGAGAAGTTTCCAAACAGTTTTATAAATTTATAACTACTGAAAGAACTAATTAGAGAAATGGATGTTCGCAATTGCCGAAAGTCCGTTAAACCGAATGTGTTTTAAACACATATACTAATAACGAACTTATAAGATATATTAAAATGTACAGTACTTATAATGAGTAATTTATATTCTGACTTAATGACTCATCTTTTAGTGTGTTTTATCCGCGAATAAAAATCCGCTTGTTCAACAATTTCATGAAGAGTCACCCCGCATTTCTTTATGCAGCGCTCGAGAAGTTGCGCAAGCACAGCGAACACACTAAATTGGTTTCTAATTGGCCAACACTGGTCGTGATGTCATTTCGCTACACTCTCCCTGCATAAAGAAACGCGGGGTCATCGATTGCCAATGTTGCCGTTTCTATTTAATTCCCTTGTTTATGGCGGAAAAACGTTTACCACAATTTTAAACTGATATTTTATATGTATATGTAGAATAGATTTGATTTAATGCATAATAAAGGACATTTAAACGTTGTTTTGCTTAGAAGTTTGGATCTTTAAACCGGTTTTGGATCACAATTATTTTTGCAAACTCTTGCTAAATAGCACTAGAATTTACACTAAATAATACTCAAATATTTTATCATAATATCCGACGAACTGCTTGAATTGAAATTTTAGCTGGTTACTGTAATTTTCGTGTAACAAGCTAATTAAAATCTACACCACTAAAATTAGATTACTAATTTAAAACCATTAATATATAAAACTTAAAAATTTCATGTTTCATAAATCGAATTATGTTTTAACAATTTATATATATTTAAACAATTAATCTATTTTACTTAGTAATTATTACGAATTCGTAACACAAAAGGTTTTTCATGTTTTCGTTTTCCTCGTTGTTTGTAATTTATTTACTTTTTATGCCGCCATTTATATTAAATTTTCCTTATTTTGGATCGCCAAATAACATCGGAAAACCTAAAGTTGGAAGGTATGATAAAGATACAAATGAAATATTGACTATCTCTAGTAAGAAAAACGCAAGCGAGAAGAATTCTGTAAAGGAAAATTATATTCTTAAAACAAAATCTTTGCGATTTAAAAGAGATTTAAGCGCAGAAGATGAAGAAAAAATATATGAGAAAATTAGAAAAATTTCTCCCATAAAAATTAAATTGGCTTTTATGAGTTCTGTAAGTCGTGTACAACCTCAAGATTTAAAAAATGATTGCTGTTACAATAATGGAATTTGCCACAAAAAGGGAAAAGGTAGGAATATTTAGGCTACTTTAATATTTTTTACAAACATACCATTATGTACAAGGTGGCCGTAATTAAAATTTCCCTATTCAGTGCACTCTGTAACTGTAATCAATAAGCGTCTGAACACCAAAATTTGTATATTTGCTATGAAAAGGACAAGGAAAAGGATTTTGAAAAACCAAAAATTCAGTTCAAAACTTTCGCTAGATGACGCTTTACACAAAACTACACAATACAAATACAGGTATCCGTTCATACAACACGTTATTTCTACAATAGGGTTTGAAAATTGAAGATATCTCCCGTACAACACTACTTCTGGTTTCTCTCTAACACGATTTGGAAATCCTCCGTACAAAATTTCACAATATTTAGGCGTAAAGTTTGTTATTCGACATTTTTTAAAAATTTAAGTAAGCACGCGTGTTCTCAAAATTGTCCAGGAGTTTAGAGGAATTTTATATAAAAATTTTCAAATTATTTTGTGCTTTCTGTCAGGTTTACTTTAATGAAAACTGATAGGACAAGGGGGGAAAATTGTACTAATTTTCCTATCAACCAGATGTTGCTGTCGTTGCTTTCAGAATTTAGTCCTTAAGACTGTCACTGTTTTTTTTTTTTTTTTTCTTTTTATAGATTAACCTTCGAATTTAGAAAGTTTATTTAAACACTTTTAGGTCTGTTTAAACTTTTTAAACCGTAGGTATTACCTACGAATGATTACTAAAAATTCAATGATTCCTAAAAATGTCGAACGAAAAACAGCAGTATCTCGGTATTCGAACACAAATTCTGGACAAAAGTTGCTTGGTACTCTACTGTACAAACGCGATTCATTAGAACAAATTTTCGATAAATAACATATTTTTATTTCGTTATTCATAAAAAGTTTTTATAATAAAAATTAAAAAAAGTATGAAAATGTTGCTGATACTTATGATCAAGATCAACAAAAAAGCTGAGATGATGACAATACTTTGTAAAAAGAAAACGCCTTCATTGAACTAAAATTAATATTAACACGCAATACAGTATTTTTAATTGTGATTTTAGTTAATTATTGATTGGAAATAAGTTATCGATTGCTTTAATAAACATATTTCTATTAGTAACAAAAAAGAATAGCGTAGTTTTGCTAACTTCTGGAACGTAACCCTATGTTTTGCATTAGTCGTATAGTACGGATTCGCATAACACGGCACTTTTTTTCGAACGAAACTATCGTGTTATACGAGGGATAACAGTACAAAGAAAACGCATTTACTCACTCCTCAAGCGATATTCCTTCTGCAGTCTATTTGTTGATGTAAGGAATGTTGTTCAATGTGTGATCCATTGTTTGGGTATGAAATGATTCGTAGTGTTTAAAATAAAAGATTAAAATGTTACTTTAAGGTTGGTCTTTGTTTACCGTGTTTTGTTACGTGTGTTTTCTTGTAAAGTGCACTTAGCAGTTTTCGAAATAAATTTTTGTTTTTGAAAAATGCTTTTCCACGTCCTTTGCATAGTCTGTATACAAATTTTGGTGTCAATCCGCTAATTGGTTTAAGCTACAGAGGGTACTGAATTAATTATAGGTACCCTGTACATATTTTATATATAACTGAGGATCGCTATGCACTCCTAGGTCGTTTGATTAATTCTGAAACTCGGCAGTTACGTTAACATACTTCTAACATAGATAATACTGTACATACCACCCTAAAATATTGATCTAATTTCTTTATATCAATTAATTTCTATATTCGACTTCCTGCCCCCAGACGTAGTTCTGGACGTTGCTGCACGTATTTCTAGCATAAAATAAAAAAGTAATAATTTTAAAAATCAAACTAAATATAATTCATACAAAAAGGATATAATTTCAAAAAATAATTATTATATTCACTTAACTACTGAGACACTAATACTCCTCATATAGTGATAACAGTACAGTCATAATAATACAGTAATTACTGACAATAATACAGTGCATAATAGACGCTCTATGATTATGTCATTACTGCGATCAGTAGCGTGTTATAGCTTCATTAAGCCTAGGCGAATTTGAATTAGAACTGTATTACAGTGTTGACTTCAAACATTTTTCTTCGGGGGAATGTTTTAGAAAAACTTAAATTTTTAAACGAACTCAATTTTCAATACTTAGCGGCTTTTAACTATTAGCTTATATTGTAAGTTTCAAGTGTTTACAGATATACACTTGAAGTAGGCCTACAAAAAAGAGGAAACTTGAATTGTCTGCACAAAATGCAATACAAAGAAATAAATCAGATTTTATATATAGTCATGAAAAACTATCATAAAAGCGACCCCGTTCTTACAATTCGAAGTATGTAAACAAAGGGTAATTAACACCAAGAATATAATTTGTAATGCCAGAAAAGCGCACTTTACATTTCCATGTTATACTGTTAAAAATATTTTTTATTTTTATTAGTTTTTCTTTTTTTTTGCGATTAAAGTACATCTAAGGACTCGGATATTTTTCTTTTTGAACAGTATTTTCATAAAATTAATAATTTTATATGTTTTAAATTTCTCTCTTATAAACCCGAGCAAAACCAGGTGTAACAAACTATATATATATATATATATATATATATTTGTATTCCAGATTACTTTTGCACTTGTCCCCCACAATTTACTGGACGTTTCTGCTTCGAAGATATAAATGAATGTGAGAAAGGAACCGCGAAATGTCCTTCAGATATGTACTGTTTTAATACGTACGGTTCTTATAATTGTAGTTGTCCTCCCGGATTTATAAGAAACGAAATGCGATGCGAACGTAAGCTAATATCAGATAGTATATTCCTTCCTTTTCTATAAAGTCTATCACAGGAATTTTGTTTCTAGGTCAAGTGACTTGTAAAGAAGAACCGTGCCAAAATGGAGCAATTTGTATTGACGGATTTAATGATGAATCTATTTCCTGCATTTGTCAGATAGGTTTTGTAGGAAAAAGATGTCAGTTTAGTAAGTGTTACATTCTAAACGTAATAAATATCGTTTATTATTCTTATTAATTAATTACGTAATCTTTAATAAAACATTATATAACTTACATTTAAATGTGAAATATAAGATTTATTCTTCGTTAACACAGGAGAAATCCACTTTATGATATTGCCCCCTATAACATAGGTTCCTATAGTTCGGTTTCCTATATCACGGCGAAAAAATTGCGACAGTATTCGTACAAACATGTTAAAAAAACTTGTATAATTCGGTAAAACGTCTTCGCCGACTCGTGTCGCGACAGGATTGGTCGAATCTAGACCAATAGCGGATATCGTACAAACCGTTGAGTTTAAACGAGCAGCGGACTTACTAAAAACCATTTATTATGTAACGTCTATAAAAATTATATTTATATTAATCATGTCTCTAAAGTTCAGCGAATTTTTCACAAAAAAAAAAAATTATCAGGAAGCACGCGAGCGTCATTCGATACGCCACTCCACGACGAAAACAAGCTTAATTAAGCAATGGCATAGTCGAACGGTGCACGCTCGGTAAGTAATCCTACAATTTTTTGTTTATAGCATAGTTTATATGGATTATTCCCAAAAAATTATACGTATTTTGGAAATGTTGAGTCGAATTAGTCTATAATCGATTAATTTTACGGAAGAAACCTTTCAAACAGCCGTAGTCCGTAAATTGCATAAGTGCCGGGCTGTGATTGGCTGGACTCGTAGAAAATGGATTCATAAAAACCGGAACGTATCTACCGTGTTATAGGGGGGGTCGACTGTATTAAACATCCATTTGGTAACCAAACAAAAAAGAATCCAATTTTTTATATTTTGTTGTGAATTTGTCTCTTTAATCCGATTTTCAGTTCGGTAGACTATCATATACAGCATTCAGGTTATGAACTTCCTTTATTGATTTGCCAAATGCATTTCGGACTCAATTGTAATTTAAGTCCCTCTTCAGTACAAACTCAGATTCTGTTTTCTAAAACCTCGGTGTATAATTGGTAACGTTGTAAAAGAATAAAAATACAGCCATTTAAAAAACACTTCAACTACATATTCACATTAATACGTTGCACACTTTACAAATGTTCATAAAAACCTTTACAATTACAACTTTTTTCAAGAAAAATTCGTATGCACTTTATTGAAATGTTGCAGCAATAATGAACGTTTTTTTCAGGTTAATTACTATTAACACACTTAAGAGGATACATTAACACTTTTACAATATATTTCACTTTAATATTTTATGTCACCAGACATTACAAACCAATTTTGATGTAAAGGTTTTTATGAACATTTGTACAGTGTGCAACGTATTAATGTGAATATGTAGTTGAAGTGTTTTTTAAATGGCTGTATTTTTATTCTTTTACAACGTTACCAATTATACACCGAGGTTTTAGAAAACAGAATCTGAGTTTGTACTGAAGAGGGACTTAAATTACAATTGAGTCCGAAATGCATATGACAAATCAATAAAGGAAGTTCATAACCTGAATGCTGTATATGATAGTCTACCGAACTGAAAATCGGATTAAAGAGACAAATTCACAACGAAAATAGCAGCAGCCATAAGTGATTTTTATATTTTATTTTATCGTATCGATCAAAATTCATTTCAATCTACATTCTCAAATGGCTTTATGGCTCCAATAAAATTTCGTATTAAACCGAGTCAATATTGTGCAATTCTCAAATTCAGGTAACCAAACTCTTTTATTCGAGTATTATCGAAAATAGCTGCAACTTTGGACAGTTTTCGACTGAAATTTACCTTGAATAATAACATTCTAAACAGGAAGGAACATAGACGCTATTGAACGATAGTCTTATTTTTTTACATAAGTGCTGTGACGGGCATTTTCCGTAGCTGCACTAACATTTTTTTTTTATTCTGAAAGCTGCACGTTATGCCACGAAGAAATATTTTCTAAAAATCTTTGATCTAGATATAATAAAATTGTTTTGTATTATAGTAATATTTTGCTTAATGGATTTATTTTTTAATTTACGTCTTTTTAGCACTTTTACTGAATTTCTTGTTGAATTTTATTGAAAACTTGACCAGAAAATTTGTCTTCTGATTAAGTTAAAATTTTTAAAAGTCAATTTTAAAATAATAGATTCAAAATCGGAGACAACATATTCTGTCCACCCGCCAGTCTGGAACTGATGAAATCACTATCCCAGGTGCTCACCTGTTAAAACCTTTTGGCCCTGTTAAAACCTATTAATAAATGGGGTGCCATTTATTAATAGAAATCGCTTCTTTGAGGAGAGAATTGCATTAGTCTTGGTCCTATTTCTTTTACCAGCAGATATGACTTTAATTTCTCTACTACAAAAGTAGAAAGAATTATATAATTTACAGCATTCTCTTCTACACAAGAATAATAGGCAATTTATTACCAATAATTCTTCAAGGACATTACTCATATCGAAAAAATATCGCGTCTGAATACTTTCAATCTTTCTTTTGCGCTAAATTTTGTTCGATTTACCATTGCAATGATACTAAGTGGGCATACACCGATGCTAAATGACTCAACCAATTATTTCTATTAAAGATAACGAAACGGAAAGATGAATGGACACGAAAACGATTTAACAGAAATCGTTTCATTTAAACGAAAGCTGGTTGACACACGAAAACACGGACCAGTTTCCCCATACAGTATCTTTTTGGGCAGATTGCTCTTATGCGGTGTTACCTTAACCGATCAAACTAGAACTAAACAAAGCAATTAGCTTTGTTACTTTAAAATAACTAACACGATTTTGATACTGCCAATACTAGACATCCAACGCGTTGTCCCTTTCGTTCCTACGGTCATTTTTCATACCTAACAGCATTGTGTGTAGTAGATAAGAATGCCACAATTTAATGGTAGGCAGCAAATTGTTTACTAATAGATATGCGCGATTTTAAAAAGAACCAGCATTCTACTCAAAGAATTTACTGAGATTCTTCGAAATAAAGGACAATTTCCCAGGAATTCTTGAAATACAGAAGATTTCGGCATCTTGACAAAAACTGTATGGACATTGGAACAGAAATCAAGATATGCGCTGTCCCGTAATACGGGATGTCTGGTCATTATATTTTAAATAAAGATAAATGTAAAAACGCTTATCGCACGATATCGAATAAACAAGACAATAGAAAAACTAAAATAATTATAATGTAATTGAATAATATTCTTTGGAAAACGATGGGGGAGCATGCCTTTGTCCACTACCGAATCTGCTTTGAGCGCACCCTATTCTCAAGTATAGATACAGTTATTCATATATTCTATAAAAAATTTAACTTGCTTTTTATATCTGGAAAGACAAATATAAAAGTTTTTATTATAAACATAATTATGCTAATTTCATTTTTTATTTGAACGTTATTTTATTTTTATAGTGTTACCCGAATGTGATGATTTCTCTTGTGCCGATAACGAATTCTGTATATCAACTGACAAAGGATTCAGATGTATACCTCTTAAATTCATTTCTAAGAATGTAATTTAACAAGTAATTACTGTTTATTAAACATACTGTATTACCTAAAAATAAAATAAAATGAAGCAGAGGTAATTAAATATAAAATGGCTTCAAAAAATAAAGATCTTCATCTAATAGCTAAATGTATTAAGAATGACAGAGAAGTAAAATTAATTTATTGTTTATTAATGTTCATTATTTATAAGTTCAAAAACTACTTATGAAGTTCTATCTCTTTAAGTTGCTCACTAGTGGCCAAGCGGTTCCGTTCACTAAACACCACAGCCGATTGCAGAGAATGTTTAGAGACCGACAGAGGTTTACAGATCGAGTAGACCACTGTTCAGAAAAATTTCATTGCAGAGACGGCGTTTCTCGTCTGCCACAATGTAGACAGCGATTAGAAACAGGTTATTTGACTTATTTTCTAGACTCACTCGACAGCGGGTTTAGAGGGCTTTTCGATTCGAGTGGTAGCTTTGTTCGTGGAAAAGTTTAGATAAAAACAGAATCGTTCCTTTGATAAATGTTGTAAACGGTACGAATCGACAAAATTATTCATTAATTAATTGCTCGGAGCAAAAACAATAAAATTAAATACTTTAAATATGTTTTAAATGTTCCAATTTCGATATTCAAATGGATGAAGACTTAAAACTTCAATTAATTTAAATCAGATGCATTTATTTACAATTCGACTATTGTGTCGGTTATAAAACGTTAATGCATTTCGTAGTCATTTTACTGTTAAACAAACGAGACAATTCTAATAATTACAGAAATCTGTTTATAGATATAAAAAATGTAATATTAATAATAAAATATTTAAAATTATTCATTTCGATAGTAATAAGATGTCGAAATAATTTCTTAAAAATCTATTCCGAAGACGAATTTCGAATTCAGTATAAATTTTCTAAAAATGGATTTGTTCGTATTTTAAACCGTATTGGCGACGAAATTAAATATCGAAATGGAAAAGGATTGCCATTAATTGCCGAACAATGGTTTTGACGGCCTTAAGATTTTATTTCTGGAAGCTTTCGGAATATAGCTGGCACCATTTCGGACGTCATAAACGAATAACCCGATTGGCCGAACGACTCCTAAAACAGGGGAGTAGTAGCGAAGAGCCAATGTTTTGCCAAAGTTCGTTTAGAGAACGGTCAGAAATAGACGATCGTCGTCCTTGCAACGCATTTTAAACCGTGGTTCAGCCAGCCAACGTCTATAGGCAGTTCTGTTGATAAACGTCGTTTAACGTAAACTCTGTTTCTGCAATTGGCTGTGGGAGTTCGGTCGTGGGTTCGCGTCTCGTCAGAACGTGTTGGCCATGTGGAATTATCCGGGTTTTCTCCATTTCTGAAACGCCTGAATAGGGGCCGGTTACCCTTAAAATGACTTCCTGGAAGGCATTCCCTCTAGGCCAGTGATGGGCAAACTACGGCCCGCGGGCCAGATGCGGCCCCCCTGAAATGTTCTATCCGGCCCGCGCGACATTATTCCTAATCTGACGAGTAAAAAAGAATACAGGCTGTGGTGGTTGATGCACCACTTAACTTGAGTGTTCGTTGATTATATAAAATAACCGAAGCTTTATATCTCACCATGAACGTTTATTTACAATCATGTACAAACTTTTGTTTTACACTTATTGAGTAAAAGCTCGATCGGTTACAAGCATGCTTCGGTACAGAACATCTACTCGTCCTGCGTAGCGTAGCCGAAAGAGAGAAAAAGAAATATGGCGGACGGCCTGCACATGTTTTTATAGCGCCACCTGGATTTTATTGGCCCGCCTAAAGTTTTCTTCTTTTCCTTTGGCCCGCTCTTTAAAAAGTTTGCCCATCACTGCTCTAGGCAGATCGCCTAAGTGTTGCATTGCCATAACTTAACAAAACGAACAATCTCTTTAATTAATTAAGGGAGTAGGGCTAATCGGTCAAAAATGATCCCTCAACTTTTACATGATGTTTTGAATGGTACAGTGGTTATAGTTACTGCTATTATTTAGGTTGTTTACACGTTTTTGAAACTCATAATTTAGAGGCTCTTTTTAGAGATATTTCTCTATAATACATAGAAGTTTTTGGAAGTAAGACTTTACAAAAACGGCAACACTGCTTGATTCCACCTGCAAATTTTCAATGGAAGCCGCGAAGAAAGAAAATTATTCCATTGAGTTAGTTAGCCTTTGTTGTAGTTAGCGTTTGCGACTATGCAAAGTTAGCGATTATCCATAATTGTTATTCGCTATTGTGTTGTCGACTATCGATAATCTTAATTCATTATTATCCGAAGTCTTGATTGGCGAAATTTGATAACAATTAGCCAAAATCTCAGACTGCCTGATGGCCGAGCGGTCAAGGTGAAACCTACCGCTCTGAGGGACCCGGGATAGAATTCGGACAGGTCGCAAAAGCCCCAGGAATTTTTCGGGTGTTGGTCTGTCCGGATATACCGGGTCCCGTCCTTCGCCACCTGGCCGCTCCATCGTGGACCTGGACGAATGCATAATGAACTTACTATAAAAGGCCCTTTTAGTACCCACAAGACAGAGATTTAAAAATTTTAATTGTCGACTACCCGTAATCGTAATTCGCGTTTATCCGAAATGTCAATTGACTTTTCGTATTTCGTCCAAATTTCCCGATACTTTTCACCCGATTTCTAAAATGTCATAATTCTAGTTTTTACTGTAATGGGAATTCCGACTGGTCATTACAGTGTTTCTTGGTAAATAAAAACGCACGGAAAAGGGTGAAACCTTAACACCTAAACGAACCAATTTCCCACAGAAAGTTCTCTCCGGAGACATCTCGCCTTGTCAGATCCACCCACGTGTTGTATTGTCTTATTTCCATCAATCCAATTAAATAATTCCATTATAAAACTAATGTTTCCATACTTCCACTCGTAACTTAATAAAATATGCAATTAATCTGTAATATAATAAATAATTAAATAACTTCAAATTAAAGCGTTCTTGTTCGATTTTATTTTAAAATGTTTTGTGTATAACTTAAAAAAAAGTACAAAATTTTTTAAAAATCATTAAATTATACAAAAAGATCAATATATCCAATATTATAAGTACAGTATTTAAAACAAATATAAATATTTTCATAAATACAGTATTTTTCAGACGAATAAAAATCACATATAAAAATACCCCCTTTCATTGCGGTTGTAGGCCAATTAACCTTGCATACGTGGAATGTAGTCTTTTTAATACTTTTAACGTCTTCTTCAGGAAATACAAAGACGAGTAAACAAGTCTAATTATAATATGATCGAGAAGCAGAAGGTATGATACGATTAGATAACGGATGATATGCATCTCTTGGAAGAAAATCCTGATTATAATATCCATTAGGAGGTGTCTGAAAAAAAATAAAATATTTGTTATAAAGATTAATAAGAATCTGTAAAACCTATAAATTCTTACACTACTTTTCCTTTTATCCATTGGAATCATAATTTACAGTTTAATTTATTTTGAATATTAGCAATTGGCAAATTTTAGTTTTTCAATATTAATATATGCAAGTTCAAGTCACATACAAACTTGTGAGTGAATATTAAAATGAATTTCTGCCCGTTCAGATTTCTTACAGTTTTATTTAATAATCAAAAAACGACACAAAAAGAACATAAAGAAAAGCACCATAACCAATAGAAACTTCGTGAAGTTTCTATTAACGAATAAGATGAAATTGTATTAAATTTCTGTAGGCCTGTATATTATACAATTAGTTTTTTTAATTATTCCCTTCACCTCACGAAACACTTACATTGCTAACACACATTCTTGGTTTGGGCCTTCCTGGATGGCCGTAATAATTATCTTCTCGTTCGGTTTTATTGGGATGAGGCCTTCCCGGGCGCTCGTTTGGCTAAAATAGATGAGTTTAATTAATTTTTTTCCTACCCTATTAAATTTTTGTAAATATGTCAATTCGGTTTAAATACCATATAACCATTCCCCATCGCATCGGCAATATGTGCCCATCTCACTCTGTCTTCTATCGTCAATCTGTATGTGTTTATGGGTGTTAAAGATTTGTTTCCAAAAGAAGCCATTGATGGAACTGACGCCATTTCGGCTTTATGTTGTTCTCGTTTCCATCGACGACTGTTCAGAAAACGATTATCAGAGTAAAAATAAAGAATAATATAACTCTTAAATGCCTTAAGATAATTTTCTGACATGAAAATGCAAAGCAATTTGACTTTAACACATTATTAATTTTTATTATATAATAATTTAACGTTGCATATAATACTCACTTCCAAACGCACAAACATACTAGAGTAAGAATAATTATTATGGCTGCTGCAAGAGAAGCTCCTACAGAAACACCTACAACTAAGAAATTTAAATAATTAATTTTAACAAAAACCAGTGTGTAAATTTAATAGAAAATTAAACTTACCTTCCCCATCGGTTTCGCATCTGGAACCAATATAATTACCTCGACATCTGAAATAAAGCATATTCAATTTGATATCAAAAATAAATGATCGAAACTAATTTAATATTTTATACTCACTTGCATTCTGTTATTCCGTTTGAAATAATGCAGATACCATGGTTATTACAATAATCTGATGAGCAAGCTATAATAAAAAATATGGTAAGAAACATTTTATATTTCGTGAAACTATATATAAATCTAAATATTTCTTACATGTGCATGTCTTTCCACTTTTTCTTTGATCATTTGGATTCTTATCCATAAATCCTGCATTACAGAAGCAACGGAAACTTCCAAATAAATTTCTACAATATCCATTAGAAGAACAGTCATTTAAACTGGGATCTGCACATTCGTTCAGATCTAAAATAAGATTAAGTTTATTTGGCATTAAGTGAATATCGCATGCAATGATTTAACTACAATTTATACTATCAAAATGTAGTTAAATGTGCTGATTGTTCAAAATTATTTGTAAAGACTGCCGTTTAAAATCAGACTTATTATATCGAGACAAGGAAACATGTAGATTAAAAGGAAAACAAACTGATTTTTCCCCATATATATAAGTATATATATGTGAATTACAGTCCAATTATTTATAATATTAATACAGTAGACCCCATAACACGGGTTCATATAATACAAATTCGTATAACACGGCGAAAAAATAGCGATCGTATTCGTATAAACACGCTAAAAGAGATCGTATAATACAGTAAAACGTCATCGCCGACTCGTGTCGCGACAGGATTGGTCGAATCTAGACCAATAGCGGATATTGCATAAACCGTTGAGTTTAAACGCGCAGCGGACCTATTAAAACCCATTTATTATTTAACGTCCATAAAAATTATATTTATATTAATGATGTCTTCAAAGTTCAGCGAATTTTTCACAGAAAAGTAACTTATCAGGAAACACGCGCCCGCCGTTCAATGCGCCACTCCGCGACGAAAACAAGCTTAAGCAATAGCATCGTCGAACGGTGCACACTCGGTAAGTAATCCTACAATTTTTTGTTTATAGCATAGTTTATATGGATTATTCCCCAAAAAATTATACGTGTTTTGGAAATGTTGAGTCAAATTAGTCTAGAATCGATTAATTTTATGGAAGAAAACATTTCAAACAGCCGTAGTCCGTAAACTGCACACGTGCCAAGCTGCACACGGAATTCATATAAAACGGAACGTATCTACCGTGTTATGGGGTGTCTACTGTAATAATAAAATTCCAAAAGTTTAACAAAACTAATATAAAGTCTAAATTTCAAATATTATAATACAATGTCATAATAAAAAT